ATTGAAACGTAATACCCATTTCTTTGTATTGCATAAAATTTTATACTGGATATTCATTGATTATTGTCATGCATGTTACATAATATTATTTGTTAATTATTGGTTATCATAAATAAAATCTATTTTTATACATTGTGATATTAATTATATGAAATACTTTTCACTTAACACGATAAACGTTCTTTGGGATCTGAGAATTGAATTAGTGGGCAATTCTCACTGTTACTATTATTATCCCATAAATATTCCCACAATAGTGTCAGGAATACAAACATGTATTACTGACACTATAGTTTTAAAACTGCCATTTAGGTCCCCAGTCCCCCTCAACACCTGGTAAAAAGCTGTAAAACTCGCCTTTGTTTCAGCACTGTGTGTAATCTGTCACGTAAAGGCCCCGCTCTGTCTCCTTGGCTGAGATCAAACTCCAATAGGAAAGCATTGTGAGGCTATTGTGCATGCACAACAAAATGGACTGCTGTGCCAGTCAGCATCTCCTCAGAGATGCATTGAATAAATGCGTCTCTATGAGGAACATTCAGCGCCTCCATGCAGGGTGTGGAGATGCTGAAATCCGTGCTGCACCCAGGAAGCAACTCTAGTGGCCATCTGAGTGACTGCCACTAGAGGTATCCCTAAGCAGGAATGTAAAATCACTGCCTTTCTCTGAAAAGGCAGTGTTTACATCTAAAAGCCCACAGGGACACGCAGTTGACACCAGAATTACATAAAGCTGTAGTTGTTCTGGTGACTGTAGTGTCCCTTTAAGTTGTGTTTAGTTACAAACATGCTATATCGTTTGTTTAGATCTATATGTGAATCATTATATGTGATTTGTGAGGAGTTAATCTCAGCTGAAAGATTACACACATTGTATCCTGTGCCCTTCAACCCAGACCCTGTGGGTGAAATGATTCCCACACCTCACTCTAGTATAACTTCCAATATTTCAAATGGAAAAAGGGGGAACTTTCATTTTAGGGAGTGAGTAGGGTGTGGCCAGGGCAGGGCTTTTTGGCGAAATTTTAGGTGACTTTCTAATTTATGCAAATAAAATGTAATTTAAAACAAGAACAATGTATCTTATTTACACAGAATGATTTCTAAACACATTTATTGTAGCTTAAAGTCACATTACTGTGAGTATTATTGCTGCGGAGCTCTGTTATACACTCAGATACACCAGCAACATGGAGCCTCCTAGAAAAGAGGGACAGAGGGATCTGGGCCCAAAATAGGGACTGTCCCTCCTAAATAGGGGCACTTGGGAGGTATGCTCTACTTCCTTAGTGCTATGAGTTTTCCCACACTTGTGATGCTCATACTATGCCATTATTTGTGGTCTTGCATCTCTTCCAATGTCTCCATGAACTTTGATTCACATTATTCATTACAGTAAGATAATTGTTATGATGAACATTAAATTAAATCTCTGTCAGCAAAACATTCACCAGAAAGAAGGGTCACACACAAATCATGTTTGGTTCATTGGTACTTTATTCAGGGATAATTTGCACAGGAATACGCTTGTTGCATTATTAGGGATCATATATATATAAACAAAGCAGTGCAATGTAAAGAACAATATATATATATTGCCATGCAAAGGGAGCAAGACTGGAGCAGAGGAGCAGCCTGTAAAAATTGATGCACTAAGGCACTTAACATACTCGTATCTCCATTCTAAGGCACTTAACCAAATCTTTTCTAGCAAACACAATTTATATAGGCCTTCTCTCACAATTAGTAGCAAACATCGATGCTAATCCTGATCCATGTTTTCATACCAGTCCTCTGGTATTCGATCATCCTCTAAGAAGCATCACACTTCAGAATCGACACAAAGTTGCAACACTGGGTATTTACTGCATTTGTACTATATTTTTATTGCAAGTGGCGCAACCAGAAGCTTTAAAGATTTATTACGTTTTTTTAACCCGGTCAATGCCCAGAGGAGTGTAGTAACACATTGGACAGGGCCTCTCACTCCCTTAGGCATGGAAACGGTTAACGGACTCTCAGGAGAGATGGGGGGTGACACCTACATTGAATACGCATAGAAGATCCATATTAACTATGCCATATCTCCAGGGCACCCTATGAATTTTACCAATATATTCCATAATATTTGCAAAAAAATTACATACTTTCAATAATAAAAGATTTTTAGAAAAATCCTCCAGCGAGCAAATAGTGTTTATTCTATATACATACACGTCATTCAGCAATTGAATTGATAGCATAAAACTACAAGTATTATTGGCCAGTAGAGATCAAAATATAGATATTGCATTGCTGATTTTAAGAAAATACTAAAAAGAACGTTAAATAGACAAGCTCCACAATTTTGGTTACTCCGATCATTGATTTCATGTTTCCATAATATTTTAATTATTTCCTGAGTTGATAATTTATTTTTTACTTTTTCCTCCAAAAAAATAGATTAGCTTTCAAACCCCAAAATAGTGAAAAATATTTTTTCACACCCCAAAATTCCAATCTCTGCTATAGTCTTTAATCATGGCCTGACGGTATTTTGGAACCGAGCATATAGTAATCACCAAACGAACTCTGCCAGTATGAGTTTGGTTTGGTTACAGAATTATAGACAATAAAAGAATATGGTCCAGCCAAAAGCCAAGCTGTATATACATTGCATAGGGACTGGGCTAACTACTTTATGATCAATGTCATTTTTATTTTTATTTTTTTAAAGCTTGAAATTAATATATGGTTAGAAAATGTATACAGTATGAGAAAAATATTGATTATAATCATTCATAGCCAACAAGCCCAAATTCTGTGGACTCAAATTCTGAAATCACAAGAAAAAAAAAAAAAAAAGTGGTCATTTGGTCAATAAGAAAAACGTCTTGGTCTAGCCTATTCTCTCCAAATATGCAGTGGTGGCGGAAAAAGCAACCATGACTATGTAAACAGGATATGTTCAAAATGAAAAGTACTTTTTGGGTGAATCAGAAAATCGAAAAGGGTTTGATAAGGAAAAGAAAGTTTGTGACTCGTTTTCTTGTTTGCCCAAGACTACGAGACTAGAAAAGATGGTTATTCAATACTGGTTTAACTGGATTCCTATACCAGATCTACACAACGAGGCAAATTGCTAAGCAGGGTTCTCATGCTTTCTATGAAATTAAGGGTAGAAAATCAGAAATTAGTGGTACTAGGCTGAAGAAAATTTGAGAACCTTAGCCTTAATATAATCAAAAGAAACAAGCGTTTACATGAAAAGGATGGGTAGTGTCCCACAGCTTTGTAAATCAAGCTTTTTGTCCAAAAAAACAAAACAATACAAACTTTTTTTATGTTATTATGCACTATTCCATTAATCAAACCTTTCATTGAGAATACCACACTCTGGTTAACTGTGCTCTGCAATGTGCTGATCTCCACTCTATCAGAAAGTGCAAGTATGTCCACCGTTCCCACCACACCACAAGTATGTAAGATTGGGAGTACCATTGGTTAGAGGAGACGGTGGGGGAGGTTGCAGTCTCTGCCAGAGAGGACAGCATCACTTTGCTAAGAGACATTTCACAGGTTTGACCGCAGCATGCAGGTTGCACCCTCAGTGGCACTTCAACCTGACTATCCGCATTTCCTGACACGCGTGGGCAAGAACGGACCGGTGCGGTGACATGGTAAAGATGGTATAGCTTTGGCTTTTTTTTGTAACAGACACAGAACAGCTGTCTTCAACAAAAAATTTTCTTATAAAATGTTTGCTATAGAAAATAAAAAATAAATCTGTAAAAAAACCAGGAAAATAAAGGATTTGTTTTTGGTTCCATCTTTAGCTTGGGCACCTTTGCATAAAGCTGGACTTGAAGTTACATTATACTGCAGTTCTGCTGAGGGACCTGGAGAAGGTAAGAGAGAAAAGAATATGTTAACCCATCGCCAACTCTTAAATGGTTATACCTTTGTTTGGTTAAATTATTATTTGTTTCGTAAAACCATTTTTTTTTACTTTTTCAAATGTCCGCAAGAAGATTTATGCGAAGCAACACTTGTCTATTTGCCCGATTCTGGCTGTGTTAATGTAGTCAGTGATATCTAAATTTCTATTAGCTTCTAAGCCTCTTCCATAACAGCCAATGAAACCGCTTTTTTTATCAGTCTTCATGGGTGTTGTTAAGGGGGATGGAAGGGGGCTTTAGAGGACTGGACATGGACCTAGAAGGTAAATTGGTGATATGGATACAGGCTAGTCAAAGACTGAGTCCAAGAAGAGGCCAGATAGGACAGAGTATGAAAAGGTCAAGAGACAGTGTTGCACGAGTTAAAGGGCAGAGTTAGCAAGTGGTTGTCATTTTTGTTTGGACTCCCAAGTATCTCAGGAATCGAGTCAGCTTAAAGCAGGTACCAGCATTGTTACAGGTGATAAAAAAAAAGAAAAAGCATGAGAACAAGGGCCACATCTTCACTGGTAAACACACTATACAAGAGAATTATGGAAATTTATCTAGCAGGATATGCCACTTTTCACATTAGCCATTTGTTAGTATACAAGGCTACAATGTCCAGGATACAGCTAGGCTCTCTCAGCCAATACTGGTCCTCCACGGGAGAAGCTGTACATTCTTCACAACCCCCTAAAGTAAAACCGGATTCATGAGATCCATACAGCAAACATAAGGGCAGAATTTGCAGAATGGATCCAAATAATATTTATCAATTTGCTACTCTACAGCAGTTAAGAAAAGGGAAATAAAATTTTTTTTTTAAAAAAGAAGCACCTATTTAAGTGCTTCAAATTCAGAATTTTCATGAAAGAAAATCATTCAGGCATGGATAGGACATAAATGAACCACATACGCAAAAATTAAAATGCTTTGTGCACTAGGTAAGCCAGTTGACAGTACCACATCTACTATATATTGACATTGTTTGACTTGTTATGTATAAAACAAAAAAAGAAACAAAGACTTAAAATCACCCATAACATTGAAAAAATAAAAACACCCCACATTTTTTATGATTCTCATCTAACACATACTCACTGGAATCGTGCATTTGTAAATACATACTACAATAATAAAATATAAAAGTGATACAAAGTAAGCATCCGATCAGGAAAAAGCCAGGTGTAAATTGATAATTATTGCACCCCAAGCGAAACACGATCTCATATACTGAAAGGATCTCTATAGGGTCAGGAACACAAACATGTATTCCTGACCCTTTAGTGTTAAAACCACCATCTGGCCCCTCATGCCTCCATAAATATAGTAAAAATCTTACTGTATTCAAGCTTGAAGCTGTAACTCCGCATGCTGTTAGACTCAGAAAAACAAGCAGTGTGCTGACATCAGAAGTGGTAGCCTGATCCAATCACAGTGCTTCCCCATATCATTGGCTGAGACTGACAAGGAGGTATATCAGGGGCAGAGCCAGCATGATTCAAACACAGCCCTGGCCAATTAGCATCTCCTCATAGAGATGAATTGAATCAATGAATCTCTTTGAGGAAAGTTCAGTGTCTGAATGCAGAGGGAGGAGACACTGAATGCTTGGATGCATTTTAGGCAGACATGACCCAGGAAGGATCTCTAACAGCTATCTAAGGAGTGGCCAGTGAAGTTATCACTAAGCTGTAATGTAAACACTGCATTTTCTCTGAAAAGACAGTGTTTACAGCAAAAAGCCTAAAGGGAATGATTCTACTCACCAGAACAAATTCAATAAGCTGTAGTTGTTCTGGAGACTATAGTGTCCCTTGAACTATTTAAAAAAAATAAAAATTTGTTGCACACTTTAAAGAATCTAACCCGTAAATATCTGCTCTCTGTATTTATATTTATGTTTATATCTATATCTATATCGTACAGAGGGCAGGTTGTCACTGATTTAATTTTGGGATGGTTTTTATATTTTTTTATGTATTTATTTTTTATCATTTTAATTTTGCAATTCCTCATATGGCCATCAGAGGCATCTAATGTAAAATGAGGCGATGGTGATGGCTCGTAGTTTCCAAAGTTCTGCCTGTGACAAGAAAAAAAGTTTGCTTGCACGTGTTATGGATCAAACACATGTGATGATTTTTCAGCCCTCAGACTGGCAAACTGTTATTGGAATTTTAATTCTACAACAGATGGCCAGCCTTGCGTTCCCAATTTTCTATTAAGTCCACTGTGGAGTGTCTCTATATGTTGGGTATGCAAGAGAGTAACATGCCAACCTGGTCTATGCCATACCTTTTATGGCCTTGTAGTTTTTACGATAGTTTCAAATTCATACCTCTATATAATTTCCGTATAACAACGAACGACAGCCGCATTGACATACAACACAACAACAATGGAACATTTACCGAAGCACGTTTTTCGGCATTCCCCAGGATGTAGGACCGAGTGACAAGGCTCTCTCCAAGGGCACTACCTCCACTAGTTCCTCCTGTGCTGCGGAAGGTTCTAGTGAGAGTCATGCTGGACGAGGAGGTTCCACTGGTGACACCAGCATTCTGGGTGGCGTCTGTTCCTCTGTCAGCTGGCCGTCCACAGGTGGTACACATAATAGTGCGAGAGCGGAGATTGTATTCAGCGGGGTCTCCAGTAGAGTTATGCCCATCCTAGTGTGAGAGAGAAGGGTGAGCGCAAGGAGAAATCACAATAAACAGAAGTACCAGGCTATTATGGGATGTATAAGGATTGTTATTTCCACACCACAAGTGGCAATGGTTTGGTTCTTCAGAGCATTTATAAAAAGCCTTAAAAAATTTTTACACCACCCATTTATTGAAAAATATATAATGCCCCATTGGGCTCTATTAATTAGATCTCACCCCCTACATCTTGCAGAAAAAAAAAAATTAATAAAAAAAACATGGGGGGGGGGGGGGGAACGCTTCCCCTTGCAGGCACTATAGGCTTGGGAGAAGCGTTTTACAAATAATTGACATTTGGCAGTCCAGAACAGAGTTTTAGCCCCTGGCACAAAAATGCAAATTATTCTGTATTTGTAGCGTTTCAAGCAGAAAGTGCTTCACATACAGAGTCCTACCACCAAAACCACTTCAAATCACTGAAATGGTCATGGTGGTTGGAGTAACCCTTTAAGACTATGAAATGCCAAACCATTATCGCCTGTAGTTGGGGGATAAAACTCATTGCTCACATTTAGAATGCCTGGATCTTTAGTCCATGGTGTCCATAGAGATGATGAATCCTAACAGTTTAACTAGGGAAGGAGTAATATCCCACGCGACACAAGGTAGTTTACCAGTTTGGCCCCCTTCACTCTTCGTATAAGAATGGTGATTAGGGAAAAGTTTGGTCAAGAATCTCCTTTGAGCAAAGGCCTCAATCAAACGCCAGGGCACTAAGCAGCCACCTTATAGTTTATCTGGCTTTGCATTTGACACTTGGCGATTGCTATGTGGCATTCAATGTTGTATATGTCATGAGATCTTCAAAGTTGTTTAGGGAGGTTTCCTCCATTTGAGAAGGAGGGTTATTTCCTGAAATGTGAAATGTCTGGAATCTAAATTGAGATTCAAGTTTTAAATCAAAATAGCCAGATTGGAAAAATTCAAGATACATTTTAATTTTCAGCTATTGTGGCCTAAAATTTGGAGTTTACTATGAATTCCTGGCAAAATAAACTTTAGTAAAGAATCCAAACCGTTCTAGTTTCCTCCTCGGGAGGTCACGGTCATCTTAGTACATTAAGGACCAAGCTTTTGTACTCCAACTGTAATAGATGTTAGCCAGAATATGCATCTATTTAACAGAGTGCCACATAATAACCATCACTGCATTAACACAACGGGAAAGGTTTTTTCAAAATGTTATAGTCAGGATCCTAGCAAGGTTTCTGTCCGCATGTAACTTACATGATGGTGATGATGGTGGATGATCACTTCATCATCATCGTCATCATCATCGTCGTCATCTTCCTGTACCACTGAGCGCACAAGCTTGCGCATGGCGACTTCCTGTAAGACCAGAAGAGAAGAGTCCTTTAATGAGACAAGTCAAGAAATCACAAGCCACAATCCAGATGTGCAATGTTGGACATTTAAAAACAAACTAAATTTGCTGCTCTCGGACACATTTTCCTCAACATAGTCCAGTTTGTCAGTGCCACCTCCATGTCCGATTTTATTTTTTGCTGCAATGAGGATTCTCCAAACTCATTGCTTCCGCCACTGTTATTACAGCTTAGGCAACACAAGCAAATAGCCAGGAAATATGGCAATTAGGAGCCCGCCAGAAATAACGGAAGATGGTCACTCATCTCTTTAGTCTAGCTTGGCAAATACTCAGAATTAATCATTTAGATGTGTGTGCATTGGTACTGTGTAAATTAATTGTAAACCATGAGGGAAAAAAAAGAGAATTATTGTTTTTTTTTTAATCTAAAATATTTCCAGTCTGCTCCTGTCCCCCTCGCTCTCATGTCTAGCCTTCCCATAAATGTTTTTTGTTATCCCTACACCCACTCCTGATACAGTCACAAACCTTGACGAGCAGGGCCCTAATCTCAGCTTCTTTGACACAGGACAAACTAGGGGACAGAATGGTCTTATGCCTTCAGTGTATGAAAGAATCATTACCCACCTCATTGCTGGAGGTCAGCAGAGCAGTGCGGATACTGTCGCCAGTTCCCCATGAATTCTGAGACTTCCATACCAAGTCGGAGGGGGGATTATTACTGGCCCCTGCTCCAGCCGCCCAGATCTAAGGAATTAAATATAGATCAGATTTGATCATTTTCATTAAAAACATTTTTTTAAAATAAAAAAAAATAAAAATCAACAATTGGACAAAAGGAGTATTTGAAAATGTGTGTGTGTGTGAGAGGGTGGTGGGGGGGTGGGGGGGAGAAAAGAAACCAGCAATATCTTGTGGCTTTAGAGATGGTGGGGAGGTACTGCTTTCATTCTGATACTGAGCCAACGTCTTCGTTGTCACAAAGGTTACCGTCCACTGCATTTAAATACTGTTCACAACAAATGCCCTGCTGGGGTGTATGAACAATGATAAGAGCAGAGTTGTTCCGAGCAGTGGATATTTAAGTGCCGGGCACTCCCTCCAGCACAGGACATAATGATATGAATATCCCTCAGATACAGAGGGAGTGTTAATCCAATAGAACAGGCTTGAAGCAAGACATCGCAGGGGAAAAATGGTACTAAGCGACAGGGACATATCACTTTAAAGTATGTCAGTTATATGGATGCAGTTAATAGTAACTGCCAGCAGAGGGCGAACAAAGTCCATATCTAGTAAAAATCACGCTAGGGAATTGGCATGACGGCCAACACATTGGGTGACTTTCCAATGCTGCAATGCTACTAGAGACAGTAGATCTGTTAACAATAAGCCACACATACCCTCTCCCAGCACATTGCACACAGACTCACCGTCACCACCTGACCGGCCTTTAGCGTGAACCGCGGATGGAACTTGTAAACGATTGGTGCTTCTTCTCCATTCTGCCTCTTGATCTGCCAGTTCCCCAGTGATTGGTCCTGCAATAAATCAAGGAAAGATTAGAGTGATTAGATAAAGTGATTACAATACGGAGTTCTTATAATGGAACGCTCACTTCTCTGGAATATATACCATTGAATAAAACATTAGAAAGCCAGGATAACTTGTGTTAATGTTATTTTTCTTGAGATATATAAAAAAATTAAGCAAATTACACCATAATCCTGTTCAGTCAAGGCAAAGCCAGGACAAGCATTACACATGAATTGGAGAAATAAAAACATTGTTAATGTTCTCTTCTCCGTGTGCTATATATGTATGATATGGATTAATTGAATTATATACTGTATATATTTTTTTAATCTGAATATTTAACAAATATATATTTGTGAGGTGTGAAAAGTGAAAACTGTGGTTAGTAAACATTCTTCTTTAATCCCAAATAATGATAGAGCATAGTTAACAAATACAAATAGACTGAAACTTGCCATTTTCAGCAAAAAACTATTTCAGAATGTGTCCCTAGATCAGAAACCTCCAAATTAGTGTAACTATATGCTGTACAATCCCTGAACAAAGAGCCACCCGATTGGGCATATTTTTTCAGGTGCCCCGACGTGTGCTGCGGCGCTTTAACCGCACGTCTGAGCCCCTTTAATTATAACAGCGTTGGAGGAAGTGAGAGCCAGTCACCAGTGGCATACACACAAACCATGGGGCCCCGGTGCGAAACTGATCCATGAGTCACGCGCGCAAGCCCCCCCCCTCACCTCACTAGACTTGTTCTTCAAACGGATAAACTTTCCTTCCGGGTCAACCTCCTCCACAGACACTTTCCCGCTGGTCCGGGCATGCTGGGTGAAGGTAGTGCTTCTCGACTCCCCACCATCCAGCTTCCTCCTCTTAGAGGTGGAGGCATGTGCCCCAGAATGCATTGTGCTGGTCCTTGCGGTTCTCTTGTGTGAGGTGGGGCTTGGAGACAGACGTAGCCTGGATAGGACGTATAGAGGACAATAAGAGTAAGGTTAGCAATATGTTGGACAGAATCTCATGTAAGCTGCTCATTATTAAGTGGAGTTAAATAATTTCTCTAAGATTATTTCGATCTTCGCTTTCTATGTTTAGTGAATACTAAAAGAAAACCAGTCTTGTACAATGTACAAAGTAAATGTAAAAAACCCTCTCATGCCTACGTACCTTTCCTCTTCTCCTTCCAGCAGTTTGCGGTACGCGTGGATCTCCATGTCCAGAGCAAGTTTGACGTCCAGCAGCTCCTGGTATTCATCCAATTGCTGTTGCATTCTTGCCCTTATCTCTGCCATCTCCTTGTCTTTATCAGACAGCAGTCTTCGGCTGCTGTCTCTCTCCCTTGTCAGAGCATCTTCCAGATCCCGTAATTTGGCATCTTTAGCGGCTAGCTGCAAATGGAACCAAAAGACATGCACTGTGATATTTTTTCGTCTTTCTAATTTTCATTCAATACTCCAGCTTATTCAAATTGATCTGTCATTATTTTATAGGAAAAAAGATTTACTGCATTTAAATAATGCAGCAGATAGAGAAACTCCCATCCATCGGCAATGGTACTATCTTCTGAATTCTTAAAAGTCGCGAATAATGGAGCACAAAAAGATAGGTGGCTTAACAGTAAGGGAGGGAAACCATAGATCCCGGAGCGATCACTTAATATATTGTATAAAACAAATGTTAGAGGCTCTCCCTTCTGTCGTACAATTAGCTGTATCCATGGACTTGCCGTAGAGCGTTTTACCACCTCGCTGCATGGCTGTTTCCTTAGTCACACAATGTGTTCACTTACCTGTTTCTGAAGCTGGCTGAGTTGAGATGAGAGACTATCGATGCGGATCCTGCTCTGCTGGATCTCTTCGTGCGCTTCTCCCACCAGACTACTGTTCCTCTCCGCTGACTGCTTGGCATTCTCTAGCTGATTGAGAGATGCAGACAATAAGTTACCAGAAGGCTCAAGGTTATGCATCAGAATTCATACTGTATTTGCTAAATTATTTGCACCAAAATATGACAAACTGCATTTGTCAAACAATCGAGATGCACAATGTTATTACAATATGCAACAAGAAAAAATAAATAAAAATGTTACATACTGTTTAATATGTTTAATGAATAAACTTTAATCTTAAAAAAAAAAAAAAGCACAATTTCCGGGAAGTCATTCATCAACATAAACAAATCCGTCGGAACATTTTATTGGCTCCATTTTTATAGCAACACTTTCAAAGGATGCCTTTCCTCTGTAGGCGTTTTATGTAATAATATAATAGATCTGTAACCTGTTATGGAGTGCCCTTCCTATGTGTGATGGAGAATTGACATGCATTGTACAGCACAAAACTTTATTTAAAGACACAGCAGGTAGTCTTACCTTAGCGTTATAAGTCTTTTCTAGCTCTTCCTTGTACAGGCTGATCTGCCCCTCATGCTGGGCACGCATTTCCTGCAAGGCATCTGCCAATTTGCTTTCAAATTCTTGTTGGCGACCACTGTCAAGTTCAACTAGTCGCGTCTCATGCCGACGCTTGGTCTCTCGCAGTTCCTGCCAAGAAGATCAATTTTAATTGGAATACTGGGAAGACCTTCACAATCTATAGAATTAGCACGTTCTTGGTTTCTCAAGGGCCATTAAAGATTTCATGGAATTTAAATTTTATGGGGAATTTGATATAAAATAAGATAATACTTAAATAGAAAATAAAAAAAAGGAACCCACATAATTTTACACATTTATTTTTGGGGAGCTAAACAGAGCGCTGACAATGTAAACGGAAATTTTATGCTTAAATGGAAGAATATGAAAATGTTTTCCAATTCAGCTTTTTAGGCTAAAATGTTCAATTCCTTAGTAAATAGACCCCAACAAATGTCTGATTGCATGAGAAGTGGGCAAAATTGCAGGGAACTGGATCTTGCTTTAATGGTACACTGGAATCGGACTTAGAATGCACATTATGCTACACACCAGCCATTATTTTACATTCTAATTAAACCCATTACATTTACACAAATATTGCTCAGTGCATTAATAGGACAACTGTCTCATACAAGGCATTTGGCAAAAAGCAATATGGGCACTTTTTTAAACTTTACTTTGACAATGCTGTTAGGCCACCGTAGTGGTTTAAGTTTTAAATCAATTTTATATATTTTTTTACAAAAGAGCCAGTTATGAAAAATAAGGCAAAATGCAATGATCTCTGCCCTTCTCCTGTAGAATAGACACTCACCTCACTGTATATACTCTTTTGGAATTCTAGCTCCTCCTTCAGAGTCTGGTTGCGATTCTCAGCATCCACACGGCGAAGCATTTCATCTTGAAGTTGCTTCTTGGCATCAGCCAAAGCGCCCTCTAGCTGTAGAGAAAAAGACAGCAGTTTTTTAAGACACAAATAAAACACAATACTGTTCTTTATCTCTCATGTATATAGCTGAAAGACGGAGTGAATACTACATATGCTTTCAAGACGTGTTTTATTCTGTAAATATCCATGATCGGCTAGGAAAGTGTATGATGTAGCCATAAGCATATATCCATTGCACCTCTATAGGAAGAGCGTGGAAATGCTGAATGTAAATGCTGCACACAGGTAAGCACTGACATAAGAACAGGGTCGATGCAAGGAGTTTTGGGTACAAAGACGAAAATGTGCCCCCTCCCCAAAAAAAGCATCTTCACATGTGAGCCTCTTAACTCCTTTTTTGTGTTTGTTATCCCACTTTTTAAATGTCTTACTGCTTTTAGTTTATCTTATCCTCTATTTTTCCCCCATTTTGTGTCTAACACCTCCCTTGGGTATCTCTTAAACCCCCCCCTTGTGTGTCTCTTATTCCCCTTCTTTGTAGGACTCTTCCATCCTCCCACATTTTTTTTGTGTCTTACTCCCCCCAGCCCCTTTGTGGCTCTCCTTCTCTCCTAATCGCCTTGTGTATTTTATTCTTCCTAGCTCCTCTGTGTGTGTCTTTCAACCCCAGCCCATCTGTCCCCCCCCGCCCCCCACAGACACAATGTGTGTCTTTTCCCGTTCTCAAGACCTTTTGTGTGTCTCTTCCCCCACAGGCCCAATGTCTTTTTCACCACCAGCCATTCTGTGTGTTCTTCTCCCCACCCCCCCTCCCCCCCAAGACCCTTCTGTGTTTTACTCCCTCTTAATGTCCCTCTGTATGTCTTTCTCCCAACTCACGCCCCTCTGTGTGCCTCTTTCTCCCCCACCAGCCCTTTTGTGTTTTTTTTCACGTCCCTTTGTGGTCCGGTCCTCTCCCATTCCCTGTCCCTTTGTGGTCCGGTCCTCTCCCATTCCCTGTCCCTTTGTGGTCCTCTCCTCTCCCATTCCCTGTCCCTTTGTGGTCCTCTCCTCTCCCATTCCCTGTCCCTTTGTGGTCCTCTCCTCTCCCATTCCCTGTCCCTTTGTGGTCTTCTCATCTCCCATTCCCTGTCCCTTTGTGGTCCTCTCCTCTCCCATTCCCTGTCCCTTTGTGGACTTTTAGCCTTCCTGGTGTTCCACATTATCTCTTTTGGAGAGTGGCCGCGAGCACTTCCTGTCGGGCCAGCCGGGTGCAGGAATCAGAAGCTCCTGTACCGTGGTCCGCTTGGCCACGCTACAGGAGAGGTCTGCTCCGCTCGGCCACGCTACACTGAGCGACTGGCAGGAAGGAGCACTTTACTCTTCCTTCCTGCTGGTTACTATATTCTTGCGCCCGAAGGCGGCCGCCTGTGCCACCTTATGGACGTGCCAGCCCTGCATAGGAAGCACTTTTAGTGACTGGCACTATAGATGTTACTAGGCAGCAATGTAAACACGGCTTTGCTCTGAAAATGCAGTGTGTGTTGGAAATCCTGCAGGGACAGGCTACAGACATCAGAATCACTACATTAAGTGGTAGTGGTTCTGGTAACTATATTGTGTCCCCTTAACCCCTTAAGGACACATGACATGTCATGATTCCCTTTTATTCCAGAAGTTTGGTCCTTAAAGGACCACTATAGTGCCAGGAAAACATACTCGTTTTCCCTCGCACTATAGTGCCCTGAGGGTGCCCCCACCCTCGGCTCTGGAAGGGGGAAAGGGGTTTAAACTTAGCTTTTTCCAGCGCTGGGCGGGGAGCTCTCCTCCTCCGATCCTCATCTTCTCCTCCCCGTCGGCTGAATGCGCACGCACGGCAAGAGCTGCGCGCGCATTCAGCCGGTCACATAGGAAAGCATTCATAATGCTTTCCTATGGACGCTGGCGTGCTCACACTGTGAAAATCAGTGAGAAGCACGCAAGCGCCTCTAGTGGCTGTCAATGAGACAGCCACTAGAGGGAATAGGGGGAAGGCTTAACCCATTAATAAACATAGCAGTTTCTCTGAAACTACTATGTTTATTAAAAAATGGGTTAACCCTAGCTGGACCTGGCACCCAGACCACTTCATTAAGCTGAAGTGGTCTGGGTGCCTAGAGTGGTCCCTTAAGGGGTTAAGGTTCACATTTCAGATACTATTGGGATGTCTTTATATTACACACATTCTTTCCTATGGTTCTTTTGTAAACATTTTCTCACCTTAGCAATCTGAGCTTTCAGATCCCGCAGCTCGGCCTCGAGGGTTCTCTTCTCACTTAGAGCGGTGGTCAGGTTGGCATCCTTTGAATTCAGAAGAGCCTCTAAATCCTTGAGCCGGGCCTGCGCAGCCAGCAAATCGGCCTCCTTTTTGGAATTCCTGTAAGGCAAGAACAAGAGGAAATGAATATCACATGGAGAGTTTAAATTGATGCAAATTCAATGCGTTCTTGGTAATCATGCCAATAAATCCACCAGATTCTGCCAATATGACAAAAATAGCAAAGATAATTATATTTATATATATTACCAAAAATAAAAATATCAGATGTCAAAGAAAATGGAAAAAAGGCCCTCAAATGGATATTTACAGGAATACTTTACATCTGAAGAATTGAAAAAGACAGGATGAAAAAAAAAAAACAACTAAGCAAATTTAAGACATCTTAAAACAAGCCAAGGACGTTTCAACTCAAGCAAACTTACAGACTAAATGAACTGGGTAAAATTACACAAAAGTGCACTGTATCCAGAAATATAGATTGCCTGCTATGCAATCAGTATCGAATTAAATTTCGAAATATCAGAATGTGTGTGTATTGTTACTGGAGATTTAACATGTGAAATTAGGAGACACTGCAATGATACATATTGCATTTTAGAGCCATATAGGAACAGACTGGAAGAACAAGAGAGAGAGGAAGCAAAGCAGATGGTGAAAGCAAAAGGGAGATAGTTCGTGAAATAGCAAAAAAGCCGGATCTGGAGATACACTGACTACTACATATACTATGTTCATCAATGTATGTGTTACATTTATTTTTCTCTCTGGCTGTGTTCCAAGAGGAAATGCTCTTGTAAGACAACTGAGTCGTCAGAACAGTTCACATAGTTTTCAAGTTTAGAAGCCAGACTCTTCCAATGAAGAGCTCCCCCTGATTGTTTGGACAAGTCTACACCAGGAGGACAGCTGGGGGATCGGCTGAGAAGACCTCTCCAAACCACTGTTGGTCTAGTTATAAAAGCCGTTTGTTGTAAATGTCACAGCTGCTTTGAAGGGCCTGTGATTCACTCAGCAAACATTTTATTCTGCCGGCTATCACAATATTCATGCCACGTTTGAGGCTCAAAGCCCATTATTCAAACGCAGACTTGGGGATGTCATCCTGCTCTGTCTGAACAGCTGTAGGTCAGCTCATTGCCTACTGTTTGCTGTAAGATTAGCAGTAAGCGAGGACATAGAGGCGGCTGAATGAAATGATTAAGAATGAGCAGATGTACCTGTTAATGAATGACAAAGAATGGGAGTTAGATGGACATCGAGAGTGAATTAACAGAATACTAAATGGCCAGATGGGAGAAGGGAAAAAAAAGATTATATATATATATATATATTTTGTTAAATAAAGGCGACCCAAGAAATTCTATTTTGATGACTAAGTATAGACATCGCTGGCAAGGTTTCAAATGTTTACAAATGGTCTTTTCATTGTGCTGAAGGAGTGGAGATGCCAATTTGGACCTGATCCAGCTCCTATTAACACCAAGAATCAAGAATTAGCTTAATTACTGATCTTTGTGACGAAGTATAAATATCAGCATTAAAACAATTGTCAAACTCCCACAGTTCTAGTTAATTCAACAACTGGCGTGATGACCCTGCATCAAATCGTATGTTCTGTGGGAGACCGTGATTTTGTCTATTGTATATTTTATTTTCTTCATTTGATTGGAGAGGAGTTTTGCATAACAATAATAGAAAACCAAACCAGCATCGAAAAAGCAGCCCAGCTTTGTATCCCCCAACACTGCGTAGCACTGGAAATCCTGTATACTACAAGTTACTCTCTGCTAGTAAAGCCTGCCTGAGAATGATGAGAGCTATACGGTATCTTCTATGTGGAAACCCCCTGACCATAAACACACTGGACATGCAGGACATAGAATTATGTAGTGACACAGTGTACTTATATACATGGCTCCATTACAGCATCAACATTACCTTTTCTAAACTGCCAGAGGTGTAAAACCGTCTCTTGCAGAGTCATTAGTCAGCCCAGAACAAATCCAGGCTGGCCATTGTCAAATCTGTGCAAAAATTGTGTCTAATGCCAACATGCATAGCATGCTGGGGAAAAGATCAGTAATGTGGCAGCATGTACCGTTTCCCCCTCCCTGCCCCTGGCGAGAGGGAATGACATCAGATGAGGAAGATCAGACAGTGGGAGAACTTGGCCTTGTCAATGGAAAACTTTATTTTTTTTAAATGTAAGTTTATGCTTTTTTGGTAGGTGAGGGGGGGACGGACCACAGAAGGGGTTACTATAACCAAAACCAGTGTTTTACTCCAATTGATCTGTAATTAATAAAGATAGTGCTTGAGCAAGCAATGGCAATGTGACAGTAAACTGATCTGGGTCCTATGAGGACAGGAATTGACCCTGTTCTAGATTTTACCAATGGGTAGATTAGTGAAAGGTTATATTAAACAATAGAATGGGAATTCGCCACTGCATTATTCTGCATTCTGAAACATCTTAACTGTATTTCCTTTATGGGGACGATACAGGAGGAGTGTGCTATTTACATTACAGCTATTTGTACAATTCCTGTGTTTAGAGAAATAAAACAGACTCTGGGATTTATTAGAACAAACAAATCCAAGCACATTCCTGATATTTTTAGCTTGAATAGTAGAAAATGTCAGGCTAGTAATGTACTTTTAGGCAGATGGCCAAGGCTGAATATGCATCTAAACTCACTCCAAGTTTCCAGGACTTTGTGAGCAGTAATAGCACACATCCTGAGCGTGCAAAGGCATAGAAAGGTGGTTTACTGGCTGTAGAAATGAATGATAGACACAAAGCCTTGAGAATAAGTTGATCTGGCCTATTTAAAGTGACACTATAGTCACCAAAACAACATTGGCTTAATGAAGCAGTTTTGATGTACAGATGATGCCACTACAGTTTCCCTGCTCAATTCTCTGCCATTTAGACGTTAAATCACTTTGTTTATGCAACCCTAGGCACACCTTCCTGCATGTGACTTGCACAGCCTTCCTAAACACTTCCTGTAAAAGGGCATCTAATGTTTACACTTCCTTTATTACAAATTCTGCTTAATTCAGAATTTATGTCCTGCTCTGGACATTGCTTGCTAGACCTTGGAGGGCCCTACAGTATGTAATTAAAGTTCAATTTACAGAGCGGGAGAAAAACATTTTTAAAGTAAGTTACATCTGTTAGCCTGCATGAGAATTTTTTTTTTTAATTTTCATTGTCAGTCACAGACAGGGGAGGAGTAGCTAAGGCTGCATAAACAGAATCAAACGTGATTTAACTCCTAAATGGCAATGAATTGAGCAGTGAAGCTTCAGAGACATGATCTATACAAAAACGCTGCTTCATTAAGCTATGTGACTACAGTGCCCCTTTAAGACAAAAAATGTGCAATATAACCTATTATAGATAGATCTATCTCAGAATGAGAAATGGATCGTCAACTTTGCTTATTTAAACACACAGCATCAGACATGACCAACAATCTAGAATGGTAAAACAATCTTGAATGGAACTGAAGAAGGGAATTCATCAAATGTGCTTCTCTCGGGCTATTGAACTTAATTATCCTCATTTATAATGGACCACTGAAGGTTTGAAAATTGTGATGGAACTTCAAGGTGGCCACCTCCACACTAGCATACGGTCAGATCTCAAAGAGGTAATTCTTGCTCAACCTACTATAAATTCTTAGACAAAACTCAAAGTTTAAAACGGATGAAAAGAAATGAAAGCTGCCGTGCCTTTATGTCTCTAATACCCACTTCTAAGTAACCTACAAGGAATGCAGGTATTAAACGCCTAACCCGTCATATGCAAGATGCAGAAGATTATGATTTCTGGAAATTTCTTTCTAAAGAAAAGAAGCATTTAGTACTTAAAAAATGTATACTAAACCAGGCCACATAATCCGCATGCTGGTGTTATTATAAGACAGGAACACCCTAAAATCTGTGACTAAAATCCAATGACAAAATGTACGAGGGGATGACAGATTGTCCCCCGAGTCCACAACCCTCCGTTATAGAACAAGATCTGGCACTGATCCAGGCAAGGGAAACCGGTTTACGGAGGAAATACAGTGAAAGTCAGTCACATTGCAGCTTTACAAGATAAAAAATAAATAAAAAACTGAAATTCCTGTCACTCCCACAATACACCCCGATAGATAAGCATGTGTAAATGAAAATGTAATACATGGAATTAAAGATTATTCTGCATGATTTAGAAATTCAATTACATAAAGTTATGGAACTTTCCTATTTTGATTTCTTCAGTCCTCCCAATCACCCAAGAGACCTTCTCTTGAGTGTAGATATATAAATGGGCTGCCATTAGTCGATTCTCATCTGGAATAAAGATTGGATATGTTTGTTATTTTTTATTATTCTTTATTTAAAGGGATACTATAGTGCCAGGAATACAAAGCTGTATTCCTGGCACTATCACTCCCCCTGCCTCCAACCTCCGTTAAATAAAGGGTTAAAACCCCTTTATTTACCTACCTTATCCAGCGACAATGTCCATCGGCACTGGGTTGACGCTCCGCCCTCTCCACTGTGCTGTGACGAGCACCAATGCACATGTGCGACAAGTGCCACGCACACATTAGACCTCCCCATAGGAGAGTATTAATTCAATTTTCCTATGGTAAAAAAAAATCTGACTCTGGATTACCCTCGCAGAGCGTGAGGACGTTCAGCGTCAGATACCGGACCAAAGGTCCATTTCAATCCAGGAAGCGCACCCAGTGGCTGTCTGGTAGAACGCCATTGGAGGCAGACTTAGTGCAGCAATGTGAACATTGCAGTTTCTCTGGAACTGCAATGTTTTACATTGCAGCACTAAGTGCAATAGGGACACTGCACCCAGACCACTTCCATGAGCTAAAGTGGTCTGGGTGCCTAAAGTGTCCCTTTAATTTGGGTTCATCAATTACAATAGTTCAAAATACCCAAAACATTTTTTAACTAAAACAAAATAGTTTTACAGAGCACTGACAAGGTATGCACACCATTACATTCCGTAGCCTTTGTCCCATCAACATAACCATGACATATTACCAAAAAAATAAAAATAGGATTCATCTAGAAGCAATTAAAACCAATAACTAAAACAAAAGAAAAAATAAAAAAGCCGCCCACCGCGAGTACTTGGTCATAAACTAATCTATTTAGTAATGCGTATACGTTTCCCAGGGCACTCACACCTTTGCACATGTTTTCGCAGGACCATGAAGCAGACCATTAAATAGCGGTCAGTGATTTTATGATGGACTTTGGCTAGAGTAGGGAGGGTAAAGGTAAGTTGTCAACAGGTTAAGTTAGAAGACCTATGGAATATGTGAGACATTAAGACCTGTGGAATATGTGAGACATTAAGTCCCTGACACTTTCCCAATAAGGGATGACCTGAGGGCAATCCCACCATATATGTTTATATGCGTCCCTCAAACCACAGTGTCTCCAACAAAGATCAGTTGGGGTCCTTCATCTTCCACATCTGTTCCTGGAGCCCCACACATATGGAAACATTTCGGGCTGTCTCTCAATCTCTTCCCTCCACCTCCTCTCCCAAGTCCCTTTCCCACTGATTGGTGTATGCTAGCTGTCCCCGTTACCTTAGCATTTGAGTAGATTGCGGAAAATATTTGAGAAGTCCCTTCTTACTTTATCCCCAATGACACAAGATATCGATAAAATGAAGGCCCTTAGACTGCAGCTCGTTTAATCTGTCCTTCTCTAGCATAGTCGCTGGTCTGTATTTAATGAAAGTAGTCTTTTGAACTGGCAATTTATACATTTCTGGTTCGGTGAAAATACAGAGCTGCCCATCAGTACATAGATTTGAATTAAAAAAAAAAAATGTTCTTCCCTCTCACCAATATGCTCATCTCTAAAAATGTAGGGTTTGTCAACATTCCATAATGTTTTACATGTATAATAGATTGTTTATCATTAAAATATTTCTCCCAAACATCACTATTTAATAAGGAGGACAGCCAACTTTGAGCCAGAATTCCACGGTCCCCCTTTTGTAGACCAATGTCCTTCCTTTCTAGCTGTTCCTTAATTTGGGGGTGTCTTTGTGTTTGACATAAGAGGACAGAGCACTATAAAAAGACGCAGATGATTCATGGCCCATTTATGAAACCCAATGTTTTGCTGAAACCTCAAAACTGCGTCTGAACGGTCAAATTGTTAGTGATTGATAAGTGTTTAAATTCTTAAAACATTACCCAAATTTCAGGCAATATGTTTGTGGGATGGGGTTCGTTTTGCTGCAAACATGCAAGGGCTTTAAAATATGTTCCTGAATTTTCATTTTGAGTCATATTCTGGAATTTCCTGCAACAATTCTGCAGAGATTAATAAATTATCAATTGCAGTTCATTTATTAGTTATTACAGAGTAACATCATTTAAGCTGACAGATATTCCATAAAAATGTCTTAAAAATATATATTTTACAAATGTTATTTTATTCTATTTTTATTTATTTATTTTTTTAAGCTTGGCACTCTCCTCCCATGGAAAACGTGTTAAGGCCTAGGTGCAAACCCACGAAAAATATATTAAGAAATATATATTATAAATAGAGAGAAAGATATTCCTTAAAGGGTAGGTTATACCGTTTTGCAGACATCTGATCAATTTAATTGTGAAAAGTCATTAACACGATGACTAAGTTTACACAGAAAATTGTACATCTTTGTATAACACCACGGATGTAGTTTGAGTTGACCTCTCCATTGACTGAAGTTCGATGAATGAATCAGAAATCATATTAGATTGATGGTTACAGTTGGCAAGGAGTGTACATGTGGTAACGAGAGTTCTTAAAAACTGTAGCTGTTTAAATCTTGGCATAATAGGTTTTATAAAAGCAGAGCCAAAAAGGGATGGATTAAAAACATTAAGAAGAAGAGGGGAAAAAATTAAGTAGAAGAAAACATCTTCAGTGCCACGTTTCAATCTTTTGTACGCAATCTCTGACTCGTCCTATTATTTCATAATGAACATTTGCCAATTCCGCCAGACATCTGGCAGAACCCTTCCCATTCAGACGAGGGGAACAGAGGAAAAAGGTCTTAAAAGAGCATTTGTACGCACACCAGTCAAAGATTACTGTGGACAAAACGCATAACGATTTACTCCCGAAAACCCCAATGCTTACTAGGGATGCGGGCAAACTGCGCAGTGAGATTTATTTACTAAACTGTAAAACAGAGGCAGTCTTCAATTAGAAAGCAAACCTTATACATCTTGTCAATCAAATTAACCAAAGGCAGATATTTACTTGAAGCTCCAAGAGAGCAAATGGAATTAGCAGAAATTACATTATATCCTACATGTTCTAGGAAACACAGAGCTCTATATAATTAGAAATCAATACAACAAAAAAAGCAGTCAAGATGAAGACTGGTTGAGAGAAAAAATAAAAATAAATGTTCTGCATGCATGTACCCTTTATGGGTGTGCCGATAGCGATGTATCATCACTGATCAGTATAACAATCACTGCCACACACCTTTTGGTAGCACCCTATCCAGTTTTTATACCTCCCAATGTTGCTTCATAGCAATAATACTGACCAAAAAAAATGTTTGTGGTAAAAACATGTTTGGGTATTGTTTTCAATTACAATCTCGGCAGCTTAAAGGTCATAAAAGCATTCCATAATGTTAACTAGAAATATTCTAGACTAGCACTGTGCCCACCCACATGTCCGGATACAATAGTATTTGTCTCTGGCAATTACATTTTTAAGGTCCCAGCAACAGCAATGCATCATCAAATGTCTGTCCATCATATTAAAGAATTTCTTTCTAATCCTTCATTTGTATGACTTATCTATTCTACTCTTTGATCCTGCAAGACTAGTTTAGTTATCGGATATTAAATTAAATTTTAACAGAAAGTAAACATTGAGATTTGATGTTATGATGCGCAAGCACTCAAAATAAAATGTAAAAGGTCCTGACTACGTTGACTTAAAATGTTGCAAATTTGTTCGTCCATTCACGGTAACCATTCGCAGTTAATTCGCAGATTGTTTATCAAACCATAACTAGACTTCAAGCAGTGAAGTCAGTTGTGGCACAAAGTGGCACAAAATTTAAATGACTTCTTGCTTGCGACACAATTACCGCATCGAGCATCTAAACAATGATATTCAGTGACAAATTACAAAGAGCTCTTTGACGCATTTTGTGCAGGTATTTAAATTGTCTGTGATGTTGTAAGAATCACCTTGTGTAACCTCGTCTGCAATGTTAAAATAAATAAATAAAATCTTATGGAAAAAATAAAAAATAAATAAAAGATATTGCATGGGAGAACTAAACTGACATGGAGCAATGCCCAGTACAGCGGGTGAGGGTTAACTCCTTTCTCACAGGCCTGGGACGCATCCCTTGTCCCTGCAGGGCCTGGATCCCATGAGTCATCCTGCAGCCGGAGTCCCCGTGACAGATGGAAAACCACATACTGAGCCGTTTACAGTTTGTGCTCCGGTTACCCATGGTAACAGGCTGGGGTTGGTTTGGGAGGGTTTGGGCCTGGTACTTCAGCGTGGATCCGGTCTGGTATTTCCTGTGACACATCAGGAGCTAGTTTTAGCAATTCCCATAAATAAACGCGACCTTGAGTATACACAGCGTCAATTGAAGTGTTACTAGAATACGCATTGAGACACTGTGCAGAGTAAACAGGAGAGACATAAAAAGGGGATGAGAAATCTAGGCACCCGGAGGGGGGAAAGAGGGAGCACAATACAGTACTAGGCGCACAAGACATGAGAAGGAGGGCTCAAAATAATTCTAGGAACCGAAGATGAGGTCAGAGAGGTCACTTATACGGGGGGCAAAGAGAGCTAGAGGACAAGAGAAATTGCTTCGCAATTTTGAGTCAGGAAAAGACAGCACACAGCCTAAACTGGGAAGTGTTGACAAGGGAAAAGCACACTCCAAATGGCTACATGAAAGGAGGTTGAAGGCTCCAATATGTATCTATTTTACTTATTAAAAAGGTATACTACACCGCCACTGAAATCATTGCTTAAACGGACACTATAGGCACCCAGACTACTTCAGCTCAATTAAGTGGTCTGGGTGCAGTGCCCCTGTCCCCCCTAACAGTGCAGTAATGGAGGAACTTGCAATGCCAAGAGCCACTAGAGGGCCTTCCGATAGTTTACCGGACTCTGGGTCGCCTAACACTAGATGTCCTCACACTATGCATGAAGACATCCAGCTTCAGTGAAACCCCCATAGGAAAGTATTGAGTCAATGCTTTCCTATGGGGACGGCCTAATGTACTTGCGGCACTTGGTATACATGCGCGTTAGATCAGATGACGGAGGAGGTAGAGCACTGATTCAGCACCAAAGGAGGTTAGTGCTGGAATCGGGTAAGTAAAGTTTTATTTTCACCCTTTATTTACTGCAACAGAGAGCCCAGAGGGGGAATGAGAACCAAAGGCACTATAGTGTTAGAAATACAGATTGTGTTCCTAATCCTAAAGAACCCCTTTAAGAAAAGGAATTTGCCTTGCTTCCGACACCGGTTTGAGAGCATCAGTGTGCCCTGAAGTGCCAAAGAACAGACCCCGTGAAATTGCGGCCTAGCAAGACCCGAGCGGGGGATTGACAGGCGACCTTCCTGTCACGTATGAAGCAGACGCAGCACTGGTTTAGGTCCTGATCCCTGCCTTTCCCTGTGGACCGGTGGGGGTGATCCCGGTCCCCACCGGCTTGCAACTTGTACAGATAAAGTCTTCTCCGCCTCCACTAGCCCAGTACAAGCAACAGCTGCACAAGATGGCAGCTATACTTACCCCATGTGAACCTGAGATGAAACCATCCAGCGACTGGAGGAGCTCCTGGGTGGTTTCTGGGCTGCCGTGGAGGCACGTCAGACGGCCACGTCATCTCCATTTCAGATAGCAGTTCAGGAGAATGGGGCCCTGTCGATGGGGGAGCCTTCTCCGGGCAAATACGCTACCCCAGCTAAACCTGCTACAACTACCGAGGGCCAAAAGGGGCAAGATCCCGCGTCATCACCAACATAGGCAGAAGTCCTACCGCCACCAGCGGTAGAGCAACATCAAAACCTTCTGTTTCCCCTCCCTGGAGCTGGACTTGGTCTCTTAAGCTCGAGGCACAAAGATGTCAGCCTGGAATCTGGTCTGGGGTGTAGAGGGGCCCCATTGCCTCCCGGTCCCCATATTTGCCTGCCTTATGTATCCTGGTCCAGGGTGTCGGCTAGGTGATTGCAATCACTCAAGGTCAGTTTTCCGTGCACATACTGAGACTTGCCTATAGGCAGTTACAGTCATTAGGCTTACAGTGGCCCTCTTTAACAATATAGGTCAGTAGAGAGCCAATTTTTTTTATTTGTTTACGCTTTACAGTTTATTACCATGCATGGCTAGAAGCAAACATGCTATCATACCTTCCAGTGATATTCAACTTTTTAGCTGGCAAGGTGACTGATGTATAGCCTGTTTATACAATGCTTAATAGCTTAAAGGACCACTATAATGGCAGGAAAACATACTCGTTTTCCTGGCACTATAGTGCCCTGAGGGTGCCCCCACCCTCAGGGTCCCACTCCCGCCCGGCTCTGGAAAGGGGAAAGGGGTTAAAACTTACCTTTTTCCAGCGCTGGGCGGGGAGCTCTCCTCCTCCGATCCTCCTCCTGGGCTAGCTGCGCACGCATTCAGCCGGTCACATAGGAAAGCATTCATAATGCTTTCCTATGGACGCTTGCGTGCTCTCACTGTGAAAATCACAGTGAGAAGCAAGCAAGCGCCTCTACTGGCTGTCAATGAGACAGCCACTAGAGGATTAGGGGGAAGGCTTAACCCATTCATAAACATAGCAGTTTCTCTGAAACTGCTATGTTTATGAAAAAATGGGTTTACCCTAGCTGGACCTGGCACCCAGACCACTTCATTAAGCCGAAGTGGTCTGGGTGCCTAGAGTGGTCCTTTAACCTTTTGTCAGATTGTGTAACCATATTTGCCTAACCACATGCCTAACAACACTGTCCTCTGGCATACATTTAGCCTGAAATGCACCTTACCTACTATTGCCTCGCACCTTCTAAGCATTGAGAATGTATGTCACCTCTCTGTACAATAAAAAAAGTTAAAAGGAAAATGGAAACAAGGACGAGTGTGCTCAGGGAGAAAACATGGGTGAGCGTTTAAAAGATGCTTTCCTAGCTATGCAGCTACCACAAATCTAGAGATTCTGAGCTTCTTTTTAGGGTCTTTCTATGGGCTTTCACATTCCCATTGGCCCACAAGGTTGCATCAGTCTACGGTGGTGGAATTTCCCTGGCCAGTGCTGGAGGATATGGTAGCTCAAGGTCAGAGCACTGGGAGAGGCGGTTAATGCTCACAAAATGTTTGCAGGAATCGAACTCTGGAAGCTGTGCACTATTGGCTGTGGGGTTAAGAGTCTTGGGTAAGTTTTAGGCATGATTTGGCAGTCATGATATTAAACAATTACAAAAAGAAATTAAATCACAACGTTTAGAAAATACATCATACTGAAAACACGCTTCCGTGCTTTAACTCTCCTCCCACACCTTAAACTTGGTCTCATTCAATCATAACAGAGTGATGAACTCTCCTTGTTCTTTTAATACAAGTGACAGCACACAGAAAAAGGACTCAGAGACATTACACCAGGTAATAAAATAGAAGGAATTAAATGGGTGCTCTCTGTCATTGTGATCAGGAAACCCAATCCATTCTTAAAACACCTCACCAGCTGTTTACGCCCCAGGGCGGTAGACATAATACTGCCACACCCTGGCTTTCTCAATCACTTTTTGGAATCCTCGCTATTTGACATCCTGTTGCAGACTAACAGGTTTAACCCTCCGAGTGCTGAAGTGGTAGGATCCCCCCCACATCATACATTCAAAAGGGTTAAGTAAGGTCTCAAAAGTACGTCTCTAAATAGATCGTATCGTTATTAATAGCGTCTTGTGATACATTGCTTGGTGGTTTAACATCAGATTTTCATTCTCCTATCTTTAAAATAAAAAAAAGAGTGATATATTAAAAAAAAGACTAAAGAATGAGTGCAACTCCAAGGATGACAAGAATCGTTCACAATGGAAAAAGGCAACTTGCTCTTAAAATATAAAAACAAAAAAAAAGGAAGTTCCTGAAAGGCTTTTAGATAAAACTAGCCTTGACAAAGTCTGACCACATCCGCACTCTGCATGGCTGATAGGCCGAAAAGAGCGTGCTTGTAGGATATACAGTGGACTCATCAGAAATTATTATTTTTAGTGTCCCTTGTCAGTCTACAGCTAAAATTACTTATTTTAAAATGCATTTTGTAAATGGACGGTAAAGGGAAACTACTCGGTTTGTAAGTTAAGTGCAGAGTATATCACCGGGATGATGAGCTATAGTGAGACTGACGAGGCACACATGCAGCATGAAAACCATCGCGGTGTTATCATTGGCGCTATACTTCTAGTTTTGGATAAGTGCGCTGCAGTGGACTGTCATGTTGCACTTGCCTGCCATTAAAGAATACTAGCCTAACATAGCATGATCTTGTTTATTTAATCAAAAGTGAATTTGACAAGCACTGTTAGAATATGCTGACGATAAAGAAGTCTGACTTGTTTTTATTTTTTTTTTACAAAATACACTAAAAGGCTTTGCAATGTTTCCAATTGCTATATTTAAAATTATTTGTATACATTGAAATTTAGTGTAAATTCCTAACCTTTCACACACACATCCAAAAAAAAAAAACAGTGTTCTGTGATATCAATAATCAGCCTGATTCTTATGGCATCTTGACTATATAGTGCCTTAGTCATACTTCCCAAGTGTCCTTGTTTAGGAGGGATAGTCCCTATTTTGGGCCAACATCCCATTGTCCCTCTTTTCTATCATGACACAATAGTACATGTACAATAGTACAACACCGAGGTCTATCTATGAGCAATGCCCCTTTCCCCCTCAAACATAACTAATGATGGCTGGGGGCCTGACAAAATAGGTAGCTCTGTCTTTTAGTCAATCGAAGGAAAATGACTAAGACAACATAGTCCTTACTTGGTCTTAACACGAGTCGGCAATCTTCGGCACTCCAGATGTTGTGAATTACATCTCCCATAATGTTCTTACAGCCAACATGCTGGCAAAGCATCAGTTGAGATGTGGTCCACAACATTCTAGACTGTTGAAGATTACCTACCCAGTAAGGGGTATTTAAACTACAATAAATATGTTTAGAAATCAGCCTATGATATAACATTTAACAACCTCTTTCACTATCACCCCTACGCACTGTATATTTGATATCATTATTTGATCTGTGAGAGAGATATATATATATCTGACATTTTATGAAGATCTTGCTTTAAACCTCATAGTATTTTTTAATTTTAAAATGTCACGGTTAGCCTGTTAACTAACAAGATGCACTGCAAAAATGGATAAAAAATAAATTTAAAAAAATAATCAAAAAAAAATAATCAGTCTATGTAAATAAGATACATGGTTCTTGTTCTAAATTACATTTGACACACCCCCACCTTTAATTTTAAAGGGACACTATAGTCACCTGAACAACTACAGCTTAATGTAGTTGTTCAGGTATGATCTATAGCTCCCTGCAGGCAATCTAATGTAAACACTGTATTTTCAGAGAAAAACTGTGTGCGCGCCTTCTCTCTTCTGCCCGTCAGCAAAGGAGAGGGGGCGAGCAAAGACCGAGAGCTGAGCGCGGTAGTGCGCTCAGGACTTGAGGGAGGCATGAATGCCGCCCTCTGAAGTATGTGCGGCAAAGCCGAGCATGCGCACAAGGGAGCAATGACACTTCCAAATGGAAGCGTCTGATTGCTCCCTGCTCGCACCCGCCTATTTCGTCATTTTGAGGCTTCCGGCACTAGAACCAGGTGAGTAAAATCCTCTGTCTGGAGAGTCCCTTTAAAGTGTCCCTTTTGACCTTTTGAAAAGTTGTGAGGCATACCTTCGCTTTAGAAAGGCAGAACATAGGTATCGATACAGGTAAATACACAGAACCTGGGCAATAGAAATTGATGAAATAAAATCATTTTTTGGACTACAAGAAAGATAATGCTTTAAAAACACTATAAAAAAATATATTTATAAAAAGTATAAACTACAATGCCAATTAATAAATCACTGTGCATGAATAAAAAGATACAAACTAGTTGAATATGCTCATAAATGTTATGTTTCCGTGGTAACCTGTGTGCTACATTTAGTTTATTAATGTATAATATAATGACTCATACAGGAGTCAGAGCGGAAATTAACCCTGTGGATTTGATTTCAGGGAGTTCCTAGTTACACTACTGCTTTGAGGACAATTGTCGTGACGCGAGTCTTATTCAGATAATCTGTGGCGAGCTGACAAAGTGACTTTACCAACACCTTCCTTTCCTACTTCCACATATTACAAATAGAAAACCACAGACAAGTCTCACAATCTGTACTCCAACCACACGGATATTTTAGCAAACATTTCTGATTTTAATTCATCAAATAAGATCACTTGTTCTTTACATTTAGTTCTACATATTTAGATTAAAATAAGAATACATTCAGGTGTGTGTGCGCACATATATATGTGTATATATGTATTTATTTTGTTTTTTTGACACACACATTTTGGAGACAGGGCGACTGTTAATAACATGCATTTTGCTTCTCAAAGATCAAGGAGTAACAAAGATGTATTGTTCGTAAATGCCCATGTCAGTCCACAGATTAAGATCCAGTTGACAGTTCTGTAACCAACTTGTGAGGTAATCTTGCTTTGAAAGCCAGGCTGGATCCGAAAGCAGAGTGGTGTGTCTCTTCAAGCGCAAGTAAAGAGATGACTTTGGAGACTAAGTCAGTAAATATTTTATAGGGATTGGTTTCAAAGCACACCATACCTGTATACTGAAATGTTAACCACTTAATGGCTCAGCTACGTTTAGCTTGTTTGGCTCATTGTTTTGGTTACGAAGCTTGGAATCTATGGTAGCTTCGCCCAGTTTAATGTCTTACAATTACAGTGAATGCAGCTCTCTAGGCACTTGGTCCCGCTGTAATCCTGCTAATAAAATGGAAAATTAATTATACTTCCAAAATATCAAGTGCAAATCTGTCCAACTTTGAACAGCAATGATAGGTTAAGTGCGAGAGGGCTCTCAGCTTATGATGGCGAATCATAGCACGACAGGCTGTTCCGATAGGACATTTGTAATCTCCATTCTTAACCATATGGATCACACTCTATATTGGATTAAAGCAAGTTGGAGAAATTTGGCTCATCCAAATTCAGAAAAAAAATAAATAAAAATAAAATATCTTTGGACAAATTTCACCTGCACAAACAATGGGCCAGTGTACTGCTAAAGATACACGTACTATTATGTTTCTCATTCTCGGGTTCTCTACAAGAGGCCTAGGATTCTGAGGGTTCTGCACAGGAAAATGCACAAAATATACATGTCAGTCAGAATTTTTTATGTTTTCAAGAATGTGTGTGTGTAGTGGATGCAGTGAGAGTATTTGATTAGTGGATGCAGTGTGTGTGTGTTTGTGTAATGTGCATAGTAAATGCAGTGTATATATATAGATATATAATGAATGCAGAGTGTGTGTGTATAATGAATACAGAGTGTGTGTGTGTATAGTAAATGCAGTGTGTTTGTGTAGTGAGTTTATATAATGAAGAGTGTGTGTAGATATGTAAAATGGGGGGGTGGGGGGCATTTTGATGTTAACATTACTTAAAAAGAATAATTTGTTGTTGTCCTCCTCCCTGCTTCTTACTTGGCCATTGAGGGGGGATATGGCATTCCCTGGTGGTCCGATGGCATGGACTGTGCAGTGGGGGCCTGTAGAGATATTGATAATGCAGACCAGGAGGGCCCACAGCAAGGGAAGGTAAACAAGAGCTTGCTGCGGGCCCTCCTGGTCAACATTATCGATATCTCTACAGGCTGATTCCGATATTGCCGAAAATACCGAATATCGGCCAGACCGATAATCGATCGATCCCTACTACTAAGTGTCCCCATTTAGTTGGGATAATCCCTGTTAGGATGCCTCTGTCTCATTGGGGACCTTTGTATAATTTCCATAGACTCCCGATGGGGACTTTGCTGCTGGGGGTCCGGTTGCTGCTGGGTGCAGGGGAATCAGAGTTATACCTGAATCAGTCCCACACAGCCGCTGCCATGCTCTTCCTGACGGATCTCTTCAGCCACGAGCCCACGTCAGCGCTGTACTTGTGTGCATGCACAATAGTACAACACCGAGGTCTATGGAGGGTTCCACAAGATCATCTATGATCAATGCCCCTTTCCCCCTCAAACATAACTAATGATGGCTGGGGGCCTGACAAAATAGGTAGCTCTGTCTTTTAGTCAATCGAAGGAAAATGACTAAGACAACATAGTCCTTACTTGGTCTTAACACGAGTCGGCAATCTTCGGCACTCCAGATGTTGTGAATTACATCTCCCATAATGTTCTTACAGCCAACATGCTGGCAAAGCATCAGTTGAGATGTGGTCCACAACATTCTAGACTGTTGAAGATTACCTACCCAGTCTTAGTAATTCTTTTGACTGCATTAGCATTTTAGTGAAATTCCAACATCGTCAACAAGAGTATTTCATAAAGGTTTAACCTTTTTAAAATACACATTTGGGGGAAGTGGGCGGGTAACAAGATATAGATATACATCATGCAATCAGGGAGCACATGACAGCAGAAATAACACGTTCTATACTATGGTCACGGCGCAAGTTCTATGAAAAAGCCAATAAAATGGACACACTGCTAGCGCGTACACTCAGACCGAGACAGGGATATAAACCCATTACAACGCTCCGTAACAAAGCCAACAAACTAGTTAACACCCCGAAAGAAATCAATGACGCCTTTACAGAATACTTCCAGCAACTGTATAACCTTGCACCAATGGAGGGGGAAGCCCAGACTCAACATCTCGCCCACATAGCTGACTTCCTAACCCACACTAATCTACCCAGGGTGACAACAGGAGAGGCCAACGCTCTAGAAACACCCATCACACCGGAGGAGGTAGCGGCCTCGATCTCCGCCCTGAAAGGGAACAAAGCACCAGGACCTGACGGTTACGATATGGGCTATTATAAAACATTTACGACAGAACGGATACCCCCCCTCACCAAACTATATAACCATTTCCTTCAGGGGGGAACTCCAGACCGAGATATGGCCACCGCCAACATTATCTTACTGGCCAAACCCAACAAGGACACCACACTTGCCACAAACTACAGACCCATCTCCCTCATCAACACCGACTTAAAGATATTCGCAAAGATATTGGCATCTAGACTAATCCCACTGTTACCTAAATTAATACACCCAGATCAGGTCGGCTTCATACCAGGACGCCAGTTATATGAAAATACACGCAGAGGGGTGGATCTGATCTGGCATATATCACACACTAGGCAACCTGCCCTTGTCCTCTCCCTCGACGCAGAAAAGGCCTTTGATAGGGTACAATGGCCTTTTCTGTTCACAGTACTTCAAACTCAGGGATTCCCGGAACCCTATATCACGGCAATAAAGGCCCTATACACAAACCTGCAAGCACAAACCATAATTACAGGAGCGCCAAAATCCCCATTCCAAGTGAGCAATGGAACAAGACAGGGCTGCCCCCTATCACCACTCCTCTTTGCTTTAGTGCTAGAGCCCCTCCTACACCTCATACGAGCAAACCCAAACATAAAAGGAGTGCACTTGGGAGATGAACACTTCAAAGTAGCTGCATATGCAGATGATATACTCCTAACACTCACAGACCCAGCCCAATCGATGGCAAATTTAGAAAAGCTACTGCAGACATACGGTGAAGTATCAGGATATAAAGTTAACTTAACCAAATCGACGGCACTGACATTCCATATACCTGACCGGGAGGTACAACACATCAGACACACCTATCATATCAAAACCAACACAGACACACTCACGTATCTAGGCGTCAAACTCACAGCAGATCACAGCACACTATTTAAACATAATTACACTCCACTGATCACAAAACTCAAGACGGACTTAGAAACTTGGACAGACAAACCCATCACATGGCTAGGTCGCCTACATTCCATAAAAATGAACCTATTGCCAAGACTGCTGTTCTTATTCCAAGCGCTCCCGACTCGAGTGACCAAGAGTGACCTAGCTGGCCTACAACAAGCAATAGACGCCTTTATCTGGCAGAGAAAGCGGCCAAGAATAGCCAAAAAAATACTGTATAATCCCAAGGGGAGGGGCGGCCTGGGTATGCCCCACATTCACCATTACTATACCGCAGCCCAAGTGGCCCAAATAGCTCACTGGCACTGCCCCAAAAATCAACGCTGTTGGGTCGACATAGAATCCCACATGACAGGAGCAGACCTCCCGCAATTCCTCATATGGACACCGAAGCATCACAGAACAATCTTACGGACAGACTGCCCGGCCATCCTAAACTCCATTAGCTTATGGGACCAGATCGCGCAGAAATTCAAACTCACACACCTCCCGTCCCCAATGACCCCAGTACTACGTAACAGAGCATTCCCACCGGGTCTAAGGGCACGAGACTTTAAAGGCATCGAAGCCACGAACCTACAACGCTATATCCACCTATACGTAGATAACCAACTAGTGACATACCAACACTTACAAACCTTAGCCCCATTGCAAACCCGCGACTTCTTCCGATATATACAATTACGGGACTTCGCGCAAACCAATGAGGTCAAAATGGCAATTGCCAAGCCTCTAACTTTCTTTGAGCAAATATGCCTCAAAGAAAGCATGCCAGCGAAACTAATCTCTCTGCTCTACAACCACATATGCCTAGAATCAGGCACGTGGGGCCCGCAGACATACACAGACAAATGGGAAGCGGATCTGGGGGAAACACTAGAGGGAACGGAGTGGCAAGACATATGGGAGGCGAACATGAAAGTGTCTATATGCACGACCTTACAGGAACAATCATATAAAATAATGCTTAGGTGGTATACAACACCAGTCAAGCAACAACACATGCAACTCTGTCCCACCGATACCTGTTGGCGACTATGTGGAGAAAAAGGCACATACATCCACATGTGGTGGCAGTGTATTAAAGTAAAGGAGTTTTGGGAAAAGATAGTGGCCATGCACACTAAAATCCTACACCGACAAATAACACTGGACCCCTGGGCATGTCTATTATCACGACCGACAAACGGACTAGACAAACACGACCAAAAACTTCTGAATATGCTCAATCTAGCAGCTCGTAGGGCACTGGCACAATACTGGATAAAACCAGAGACACCCCCACTTTCATTAGTAATTTCCAAAATCAGAGATAATTACTTAATGGACAAGATGACAGCTACCGTTCGGAACACTACCACCACATTTCAAAAGGTATGGGCCCTTTGGGAACAATATGAGGAAAAATCATAGGACAAATGAGCACCCAATCACAGACCGCTAATCACTCGTGCAGATTTAGGATTTAACACCTACGTTCACTTGATCGTTTTGCTTGTATATATGTTTTTCTTTGTGTACACAACGAATAAAAAAAAAAAAAAAAAACCTTTGACAGGCGAAAGCTAAATGACAACAGCCTCTACGCAACCCACATGCAACAAGTCTAAAATGTATATTATGTATACTAACAACCCAGTCTTTTTCTGTACCATGACTAAAGCATACTTGAAAAGATGGGCTTCTGCGTAAGCCAAAAATGCTCTTACCTTCAATGTCTGTCAATGCAAAAATAAAGAATTGATAAAAAAAAAAAAAAAAAAAAAAAAAAAAAAAAAAAAAAAAAAAAAAAAAAAAAAAGATATAGATATACATATGTATTCCTCATATAGATAAATTCAAATTTAGACCTAAGCCTGTTAGTGTCGTTAATAAAAATCTTAATTTAAAAATGAAAAACCAGTGTGGACCAGATCAAATCCCAGCAATGTTGCTGTAGCTCAGTGCGCCAGCAATTGCTAAACCTGTCACTACACTTATAAATGAATCCCTGGTGTCAGGATACATACCCAAACTTTGGAAGACTGCAAAAGTTGTACCTATCCATAACCCAATATCATTGCTCCTGGCATTGTAAAAAAATCTTGGAAAAATGCGTCCACACGCAACTATGTGAAGATCATCAACAATCAAATTATCTGACCCCTAATCAATCAGACTTTCGTCCAAATCACTCAACATCGACTGCCCTCTTTCAAGTTTGCAATGACATCCAAATTGTCATGGGACAAGGAGACTTAACTGGAGTAATCTTCCTTGACTTTGCCAAGGCCTTTGACACAGTAGACCATGATATTCTTTTGCAAAAACTTAAAAACTCAGGCATTGGTGATCGTCTGCTAACCCGGTTTCGATCCATTGTTTCAGGCCGATTGCAATATGTGGCCATTTCGGATTGCATTTCCCTCCCTCTTCCAGTCACGTGTGGTGTTCCCCAAAGCTGCATACTCAGCCCCCTGCTGTTCACATTATTTATAAATGATCTGCCCAACTTCTGCAAATCCTTAACGGTGCACATGTATGCAGACGACACTGTAATCTACGCTAGTAAACCCAATCTACCGCAGCTTGAGGCTGTGCTCCAAAACCAATTCACAGAGGTAGAAAAGTGGATAGCGGATAACAAACTCTTCCTAAACACTGACAAAGCAGTTACAATAATCTTTGGAACTTTACCTAAATTACATAAACTACAAAATCTAATTATTATCATTATTTTAGGGGAATAAGATTTCTCCCTGGATCAAAAGTTAATAATGTCATGCATATGAACTAATTAGCCCTAAATGTTCTTTGTTAAAAAATGAACATTGTTTTTTTTTTTAATATCTATTGAAACTGACAAAACCAAATCCTAATTATTTTCCTCTGCAATAGGCAAAATCTTTCTTCAATCCTCACTGGATGCCATCATCAGTTGTACCGGTCTGTAAAGTAACATTTCATCAGACTGTAGCTTGGAGATTTAAAAAAAAATCTCTCTCTCCATACACATAAACAGAGGATAGAATAGCATGGAAAGATTTTCTGTTTCACAGATTTCTCTTCCCTTATTAAATATTAGCCAGAACTGTAAAAACAGGAGGTCCTAGAACTAGTAGAGAATGTTTACACAGCTGGTAGTAGTTTGCCACCTGCTAATGCTTGCCATTCACTGTTAAAGCCAGTGTTCCATTATTTTTTAGGACAGGGCTAGGCTAGATACAAATAAGAATGGCAAGTCACTAAGTTACATTACTTGCACTAAATTGTTCCCTATATACTGTGCATGCATCGCATCTCCGCCTTGATCTACGGATCATCAACAATTTTTTTTTTAAAGTATACTTTTGCTATAAATTGCTTATATTTTTACACTTTCTTATAGAAACCCCCTTGTTATTAACCCATCGTTCTCCTTAGTTTAGTGGGCACTCCTTAGTTGTAAAGGCTTGTCTCAAAGTCGCTGGATGCAGGTCTGACTAATCACTATCAGCTCTTGGCTGTGAGGGGAGGAAGGAAGCCTGGTTGTGTTTGGAGACAAGGTCCGGACACACTGTATTGAAGCTCCGTTTATCTAACGGCTTCTTTTAGTTTCCTAATTAATTGTTCTCTGTAAGAATTTAATTATAGGTCCTGTTCTGTGACTAATCAGTCCAGGGAATTGGCTGGGAACTTTCTAAATAGAAAAATAACAAGCAGGTAGAGCAGCAGAAACACATAGTGAAGAGAAATGAAATGCCCAAAAATAACAACTTGTATAAAATGAACAAAACAGAAAAAAGCAAATACGTACGAATGTTAGTCCATAAAAGTAATACTTTTAACTTTAAAAGTGGGTTTCTCCCATTTCAGGTATATTTCTCCTTGATTTTAGTTTTATTGTTTGTTTGTTTTTTTTTTACTTTTTTTGTACTTTCAGGTTTTGTTTTGTTTTTGCAATATCTAAGAATAAAGCATAGGGACAACTTTTTCTAATGGGGGGTTTAATGTAGTGGTTCTGGTTTCTATAGCCTGTCCATGCTCGGTGTCAAAGAAAAGGCAGTGTTTACATTTCTCCTTCGTAACACCTCTAGCGGCTGTCTCTCAGACTGCCAATAGAGAGTCCTCCTGGATTATGTCCCGTAATCTTTGCAGGACCTGTTCAGCATCTCCAAGCTCTGCTTAGAGATGCATTAATTAAATGCATCTCTGTGAGGCGATGCTAATTAGCACAGCGCCGCGTTTTGCGGTGCATGCAAATTAGCCCACAATGTTATCCTAGGTCTTAACACATTTATATTGGAGCACACTCCCATTTCCAGTTAGGCTACAACCTGTATAACCACACGATTGGGGTCTACTAAACAAGGAATGGTAGTGCATTACAAGCCCATATTGCAATTTTTTTATTTTTATTTTTTTTTTACAATTTAGTAGATATAACCCATTTGAGATATGCATGTATTTAATATGCATTCTTCTCATTAGGGATATATCTAAAAAGGTTGCAAAAGCTGCAGATCTCTTGTCTGCAGCCTAGGCAAGCCCTCCCCTTCCAACCCCAACCAGACTTTCTGTGGCTGTCCAATCACAGGCTTCCCAATGCAGCTCAATGAGAAGTGTTTGCAAGGCAGGTGCTCTCGGTAATTGCTGCCTCTTGAGTTTCCACTGAGCTAAGCAGCTATAAACAGTAACAGTACGAATTGTGTGAAAGCAAGGGGGAGTAACCAGGACACTACAGGCACTCAGACCACTATCTGCAGTGTAAAAACATTGCATTCTGTAGAATGGCAATGTTTACATTGCAGGGTTGAAATGACTTGAGTAGCTGTCACCTAGCAAAAATACTTACTCCTTACAGGGGGAGGGGTCATCCAAATGCTTCAGCAGGTACTTTGTGGAGTGTCCCTTTAAGGATAAAATAAAGGGCCAAGCTGTAACAATAGGGGACTGGTCGAATTTTTCCAAATCTGCTTCTTTTTTTTTCTACGAAACGGCAGAACACTGAGTTCCAAAAACTGGTAAGTGCTGAACACAGAATAACATGAGGTATCAGAGTGTACGGAGGTAGCAAAGGGTGAGCCAAGACTAAAATCAGTAAAGGTGTATCTGATCAGGCTTTATGGAGTCGTGCCTCAGACACACTGTAACTGTATTCATCTCCACTTGTACACCCTTGCTACAATGTCAACAGAAACTATTTTGACTCAAAGGAGAATATAATTAAAATATAATTCTAAGGAAAAAAAAAAAAAATCTAATGTGCATAGTGCAAAGTAAACGTGAGAAAAAGGAAGTGAGCTCACTTTCACTACGCACATTAGATTTTGTAGATAGTTGTATAGAATATATTATTAGTGTCAGTTGGTAGCTGTTCTGTAAGGGGGAATCGCCCTTTGGTATTGATAAATTGCTGGCTTAGCACAGCAACTGATGTATTATGCTCAATTGCAAGTATTCATTTCCTGTCCTATGCTGGTACTAGGCTGTTTTCCGTAGAACAGCAGAGGTATTTATTTGCTGTCCCTATTTGTACTCTCCTTTGGGTCATAGTAGTTTCTATTTACCTTCTTGTAAGGGTGTACAAGTGGCCATGTGATTACTTCCTGCAATATTAGAACCAGTTTCCACCATTACCACTGCTCTCTTAGATTCCTCCCCCCTTATCTGCTAGTTCTTATTTTGTCTATTTCAGTTACAGTGTGTCTCAGGCACAACTCCATAAAGCCTGATTAGATTCACATTTACTGATTTTAGCCTTAGCCCTCCCTTAGCTACCCCCATACACGATTTGATACTTTATACGACATTTACCAGTTTTTGGAACCCAGTGTACTGCCGTTTCAGCCCGGGATAGACTGGTACTATCCTCTCTGATTCTTTTTCACCGGACCTGCTGGTTGAGTGGAAAAGTGGTTTAGTTTAGTCTGCTTTTTATCTGCCTAAATTATACGATTCAAATTTCAGTTTAATATATATTTTAGTGCTTGGAGTATGAATACCATTGGGATTAAATGGAAAGATATATCTCTAAAGAAGAACACCTTATTATAGACAATGTTAATGTCAACATGTGTGCCTATCCACTATTAAAAAACAGAACACCAGCAGCTCCCAGCAAGACAGATGCATGTTTAGTTTATTGGGAGTCACCGTCACTATAAATACACAGTGTTCTAGAGGAACAGCTGCGGGAGGACTGCTCATAAAATCTCCAACAGGCCCCGTGTACCAGGCCTAAGCAGTTGTTGTCCCCAACAGACAGTGACAGGCGCATGAAGCAGCTGCAGATAGTGCCGTCTGTCGGGGCTATTGTGCGATTCTGTGTTCCTGTTCTGAGTACCAAGGAAACCTGGGTTTGTTGGACGAAGTGGGGGGCATATTTGGGAAACTGAATTTCTCCTTTAATTGGAATAACAAAACAAAAAAAAAAAAGTGTTTTTTTTTGGTTTGTTTGACTCACGAGCTGCAAACCCCTTATTTGAGAAGAAATTAAAAACCACAGTAGAAACTGCTCCAGGGAGAAAGAGAAATAAAAAATAGATCTAATAAAAACAAACGGTCCTCAAGATTTTACTTGGAAAAAACGATTCTGTGTCTGAAAAGAAAAACTGAAGACTTACTGGTATTCAATAATAAATAAATAAAAAAAGTTACATTTTGTATTTAAATATAGAACGTGGCAGCATATAAACGTTATTATCTAGTCTGCTCATTAAAGCGGAACGGTCACTTGTGATCGTTGGAAAGATTTTAATATATCCAACAAAACAAATGGTAACAGAACAGAAATTCACTGGAAATGTCATTGTGCCAAAAATACTCCATAAAGCATAAGCGCCTCTCTGTGCAAATAGAGAAGTTACCCTGCTTCTATCCATGGGATAGGCAGCATTGCAGAATGTAATTTGTTTATGTATTTATACGTTTGCATATCTACATGAAATACACTGATCCCATTGTACAGCGTTACGGAATTTGTTGGCGCTATATAAATAATCAGTAAACCTTCTCTATTTAGAGATCCAATGTGTTCAGTTGACAAAACACATGCCATGCCAAGGAAAAGTAAGGCATTTAATGTAAATTAACCTCAATGCCCCTCCCCAGAAAGCTCACTCGCACATAATATGCATGGAGTTTACTGCAATCGGGAACAAGCAAGGATAAAGAAAATCAAGAGATTACTAGTGATTAAAGCAACCAAGATTTATGCCCAACAAAAAGTAATTTCATCATTTAAATTGAACATATTGCTGTCCCTTCAAGCACTATGTTGAACTGAACCCTGCTTTTTGGAAGGGATTACCTGCACACTCACGTTAGATTATCGACTATGTTGGATTGTTAGATGCCATTAAACATGTCCAAGATCCAGGCATGCGTCCACACGTCATTTTATAGAATTCTATGGGAATGCAGTAAATCTTCAGCTTATCGCTTAGTTTGTTCGATTTCAATTCAGCCCACACGATCAACAGCTCCCCTTTTTCACAGACTGAGCAGGGTCCACCTCAACCTATTGCTCTTGTAAGATTTTCTAATTGTCTCATTTATGGTTACATTTCCCCCTTTTATCATATTGTAGAGAGTTACGGAATAAGTTGGCGCTATATAAATGCCATTATAATAATTACAGAAGGTATATGGATACTTTCGGGACTCCCTTCTTACCTGCCGGGTACATACTACAGTTGATTTCTGTAATTTTACCTGTAAATAGAGGGGATTTTGCTACAAACAGAGCTGCTTTGAAGTGTCTGTAGTGTAAGAGTCTACATTTCCATGCTCATCATAGCCCAGGGGTAAGCTGTGCGTTTAGGGAGTCCTGATACCTATGCAGCACAATCTGCATGAAAGCCATTCAACTCTGAAAACTATATAACAAACAACTCAAGGACTGATAAGATAGAGTTTTATTCTCAGAAACTCTGCAAATGCAGCAAATATGCAATGATTTATTGACGGCCCCAGGGCCTGTTATTGTGCAGTGTTTTGATAATTCATATGGCACTCACATGGTTAAGGTTATTTGCCGAGATGTGAAAATATGCAAGAACGCCTACATTTTTGAGAGTTCCACCAGAATTTCAGTCCCTCGTTCAGCTGGAGTTTTTCCTTGGAAGAATTAAGAGTATGAAATGGCCAATCTAAATCTTTGAGAAAAATGCAGTTCAGAAATATCATAGGTTCCACAAATAAATTCTTCCATACCCTTTATTTTTATATCACAACTATCAACATTCAACCTGAACTAGCTGATTTATACAGGGACTGGTTAATGAAGGGCTTACATCAGCCACTTTGAAATCAATAACTACACCTTCCAAGAGTCCTAGATTCTAGGCCCAAGTCCTGGCAAACCAACACACCCCTCTTTTTTTTATTATTATCTCTATGTGCCAGTTACTAAACAGAATAATCCTGTAGTTAAAGTTATCTCCGAAAAAAAAGGAGCTTAAAAAAAAATAAAAATAATAATACATTTTTAAAAAGTGGTGCCACAAAATATTCAATACACACACACACACACACAATTATGTCAGATTTGCAACCAATTTGCATGCAGTCCTGTATACAGTGATTAAAGTATGAAAATGAAAGTTCTCTAAGGAATTCTAGTCTTATTCACGAATGTGTGTTTATCAAGTCTCACTTTGCTACAGATGGTGTGTTAGTATCGAGAAATGGATTTAATATACACACACATACATACATATATCTGAAATCGCTATACTCCAAACTCACCAGGAGTGTCATCAGGTTACAGCAGGGGTAGTCAACCTTTTAATACCTACCGCCCACTTTTGTATTTTTGTCGATGGTAAAATGTCCTTACTGCCCCATTAACTAATTTTATAGCGCAAGTGCAATTTTAAACAATTTTTTTTTTTTAGAAATGAAGATTTTCTTTAAAATAAAATGTACTTAAATGTATATTTTTTTCCCCTTTTTTTTTCTATATGTGTGTCTGTGAGGTGTTGTGTGTGAAGGGTACATAAGGTCTATGCTTTGTGTTGGTGTGTGAGATGTAAAAATCTATATTGTCTCCTCCTCCCTTCTTTTTACCTTTTACCAAGGAGGGGGACATAATGCTGCAAGCCCTGGTGGTCCAGTGGTGGCATGTTCACTTTACTCTGCAGACGGACACTGCTGTCCTCCTGGGGTCAGAGCACTGTATTGGAGCATTGTCATGGTAACACACAGCACCGCTCTGACCATCCTGTTCGCGGGAGGAACACAGAGCCTCCCAGGCCCTTCCCTCCCTCTGCTGGAACGAATAGCCAGCGGGCTCGTGTGGGAGATCTTTGATCTCCTCACCAGCCCGAGAGGGCTTACAGCAAGGCTGACTCTGCATGGGCTGGCAGTTGAGATGAAAGGATCTCCCCTGCTGGCCTTGGTCCACGGCCATCGACACCCACTGGACATTTTCTGCAGAACCCACCACCGCCCACCTGAAATCCCAAACCGCCCACTAGTGGGCGGTAGGGACCAGGTTGACTACCCATGGGTTACATTTAGGTTGGTTTGTGAGTGAGAGGATCAGTTATCAAGAAGCAAAAAAATAAATGGCTTCACTAGTAATTCTGGAATCTAAAAGGATTTGTTACAGGCCATAAAACAGTGGACGTATTTTGGGGTGTAGTCAACGTAATGCCAATTTGGAAAACCTGAATATATATGTGGAGCATATTGGAACACAGGCATGGATGACGTGGTCAGAATGAACATATGGATATCTGAAAGTGTACCATAAACAGTAATGTGCCAGAGGATGGGCTGATTAGAAGATAGAGGATTGGAGAGGAGCAGATGCTGAATTAATGTTGCCAATTTCCAGGGTCTTTGAATGAGCAAAACCCTTAGATGAAGCAGTCCACAGAAACCATTAAAGGGCAGCCGTATGCAAGCATTGCACAGTGATTAACAGCGGGGTTAAAGGGAATGTTTAACATTAACGTGGCTCGGTCCCCCTAGTGTGTGAAGGAGAAGATTGTGACCTTTTTCCTCACTTTACCTAGTGTGGAAGAGCATGCATTTAAAGTATTTAGCAAGGCATGCACTCAACAGATTTACAACCCAAATATCTCTAGCAGAAATAGTTTGCTGTATTGAAAGAAGTATACCAGCGATTATTACACCTAAATAATGGTTACATTCCGTACGGCTCTGTGTAACCATATTCACTGGAATGATTGAGTATTCGTGATTCACATATTAACTGGTTTAAGCAGGAAGGCGGTGGCAGAGTAATTCCATCTCAGTCCCGCCTGTGTGAATCACTTTCACATCACACTTTTTGAATGAAAACAAGGAGTGCTGGTATGATTAAACTACACAGGGCAGAGTACACTTTCCTGACTAGAACACAGACACTTGGGGAAACTGTTAGGAGGAGCCAATCAGGCGCCGATCTAGCACTTTTTGAATAAAAACAAGTGGAAACACCTCACTGGATGGGAGCCTGGAGCAACGGACGCAAGATAAGGAGAAAACAGCGTAGCTGTCCCAACTGGGATTTCAATTTAGGAGAGGAAATAAGGCAGAATTTCCTCCGCAATAAAAGAAGAAAATTCTCAGACATAAAATATAGTTTTGTATTTTTCAGGTTTTTTTTTTATAAATTGGATAAAGGCCATTGTACGGGGAAAGAATTAAGAATGAGATACTGAGTTTGCCTTCCCCATCCCCCAGTCAGAAGTTTTAGACCCGAAATACCAAAGAACACAAAAAGGCTTTTGCGGGAAATGCTACATGGCAATAATCAAACATTTTAAAGTTATCAGACAATCTCGGTCCGAGAAGTCTTGCTAATTGTGATAAGAGTTATGTACCAAAGCATTGCATACGGTTTTCCTATGGGGTTTCTGATGTCATCATGCATAGCATGAGGATGTCCAGTGTCAGGAGACCAAAAGTTGTCTAATGTCCCAGTACTTCATTTATATATATATTCACCAAACTGGGAATTGTGGATTATTTACAATGGAATTACACATTGCATATGAAAAATTGAGCTATTTTGACCCAATATTTAAAGTGACACTGTCATGCCGAACTTACCTTTCCCCAATCGTTTCCTCTTCTCATCATCTTTCAGAATCTTATTAACAAGACAAAGTAGAGACTATTTTGTCTTTTGTATTTTCCTATGATTGACCATCTTTGACCCAAGTAGGAGCTTAAGACCGCTCCATTTCCTGTGGTCAAAGCAATATTTTTACATTACTCACCTCTCCTCCGTGATCTCTAGTTGCTTTATTCGCCATTCGAACGTCCTGTCATATTGACAGGGGGCCGACGAAACTACCGAATGTCGTCCTAACAGAATGAGTACAGTTTGTCCATTCATGTTAGGACGAAATTCGTGCATTTTGTTTGGTTTGAAATTTCATTGGAATGAAATTAAAATCCAATTCATGCCATGGCTGCATCTTGCAGCCACTTAGTAGATAACCCCCTAATTCCAACGGTATTAGGGAGCTATCTATTCATGGATCACAGGATAAAACTTACCAGGAAAGGTTAAAGGATCTTAACCTGTATAGCTTGGAAGAAAGACGAGACGGGGGGATATGATAGAAACATTTAAATATATAAAGGGAATCAACACAGTAAAGGAGGAGACTATATTTAAAAGAAGAAAAACTACCACAACAAGAGGACATAGTCTTAAATTAGAGGGACAAAGGTTTAAAAATAATATCAGGAAGTATTACTTTACTGAGAGGGTAGTGGATGCATGGAATAGCCTTCCAGCTGAAGTGGTAGAGGTTAACACAGTATAGATTACTTAGTATTAGTAAATAAGGTAGTTTAACATCTCCCTTATGCCGTGAGAAGCCTATGGTGTGTCCCCCTATAAAAAACAGTGACCTTACAACACAGAAGCTTAAAATGAGTTTACTCATGTTTTTTCCAGCGCCGTGTGGGTCCGGTCATGGCTGAATCTACCCCCTTTGCGGAGATCAAACTTTATTATCTCAGCCAATGCAATGAGATGCTATATATAAGTGTTGCGCATTGTGCAGCACTTACACAGGAAGCACCTCTAGTGGCCATCTGAGTGACTGCCACTAGAGGTGTTCCTAGGCCGTAATGTAAACACTGCCTCATCTCTCCCATCAATGCATTTGCAATGTTTCTATTTATTTCAAAACAGGTTTGGAGTAACATCCCACCTGCCCCCCCAAAAAAAACTGCCAACAGTTTACATGTTTGTAAGCACCTCAGCAGTATCAGACACACTTGGCAATGCATCAACAGGAATGTGCACCTTCAACATTGCTCTGAGGAGTGGCTACCCTGATAACATTTACACACACATTGTATATACATTACATGTACAGAGCTGAAGCAGAGAGGTATAGTAAAAAGGATTCAAAGTACAAGAATAGACAGTTACTTTCAGAGATCAAGTTATGAGCTGGACTCGAAAGAAATAAAAAAAAATTAAAAAAAGACTGTTAAAGTACGCTGCATTCATTAGGCTGCAAGTACAGCAGAGGGATACTTAAAATTTTACAGTGGATCGCACCTCAGCAGCGCCATTAGAGTGCACGTCAAAAATTAGTTAAAGCTACAGAAGGAAAAAAAATAAAAGAATTCAGTGCTGGAAGATGCTCACGGTAAAGTTGATAAAAAGTTAATAAAATATCAAGGTGCAATAAACTGAATATAGAATGCAGTGGAGATTAGCAAGAAATTCTGGGTGTGAAGTAAATGTAGATTAATAACTAACTTGTTGATTTAAAGATATAACCGTGTAAATCTCTCTGGCCTGGGTTTTATTCCACTGACTTTGTAACAGTCACGGTGCGGTTTCCGTTGTTTGGGAACATTCAGATACAGTATGCAGCCTGGCATGTAAAAAAATTAAAAATGTGAGTTTAGTCTCTTATTCTACTTAATGTCTTAACCAAGAGAAAACATCGTGCTCCCACAACATCACTACTGAAAGCGTGAGCCTTTCCACATGAGCTTCACAAGCCCTACTCACACCGAAGGGTTAACAGCCACTTTCAGAATGGGCAAAATGCCACAGCCAACATCCACGTAGACTTAAAAAGATGTCTATGCCATGATAAGTGACCACACAAAGAGCCTTTATCCCACATCTGGGAGCGGCCTGCGTGGATGGTTTATGTATTTGAAAAAGGCTAAATCATCTGCTTTTCATTGGATTAGCAGACACTGGTCGCTACGCAAAGACTTGTCTCCGTACAGTTGTGATGCACAACAATTCAGCAGCGATATATTATTTGGTGCATAGCGCAGGAATAAGTCGGAGTAGTACCGATAACGCCCACCAGATGAACAATCTTTGTGACTTGTTAAAGTTGGACTTAAACGCTTGCTTAGAATATCAGAGGACCAAAACTACAGTACCGAAGCACCCTGGTTCAATACTTACAGGGTGGTTACTTAGGAAAGTGAGAATTCAAAGTGAATTTTACATTTTAATGTCAAAATAGTCAAACTGGGGGGGGGGAATAAATATCTTGGCTATGCTTTCAATTTGGCCGCTCTGGCCTTAAATTTGAAATTCCCCATGAAATCTCTCATTAGTCCGATTGTACAGCGCTACAGAATTTGCTGGCGCTATAAAAAAATGAATTAGTAATATAACCTTACAATATATCATTGGGATCCACATTATCTGCGGATTTTATATTTGAAAGCTATCAAACTAAAATATTAGTGATTTTGTCAATAGGCAAATCCCATGTCTAGCCATGGAGCTTGCACTAGTATCAGCTCCCCTGTCTTTGGACTGGTGATAGTTGGTTGTGTGTATAATATATAATCACGCACACGCCTAACATATATAAAAGGTCAACTGGGAACAACTGTATTGTTTTGTCTAACAGATGATGTCAACCATAATGTTATCACAGTGTTATGCACGAATATCCAAATTCTAACAAAATCAAAATTGTAGAATTGAAGCTAAAATATCCAAATATGTGGAGAATTTCCAAAATTGACAACTTTGTCTAAATGTTTTACCCTTGTTTTTCCAAATCAGTTTTTAACGTAGTTTAAATTTTCCAATTAGGATTTAATTCCTTAATATTCGGTATTTAGAATAGCCCTGTGTATGCCGTAGGAATTAGCACATGCGAAACATGTATAATTTGGCATACAAGTTAATCTAAATGCAAAGTTATTACAAAATTTGGAAAACATCGCACAAGAGATTCAGCTTGATCTATATAATAGTTTTAGAAGTACCAACACTAGTTCTGATGGGATAACTCACTTCAAGGAGGTGGTATCAGCATGAAAATCCAAAATTGAATTGGCCAAAGGTTATCTAGCACAGCTGGGAAGATGTATCGGATAGATCCCATCTCACCCACGCTGTGCTTGATATTGCAGTAGTGTGAGAGCAGTTAACATCGATGAGCGTGAAGGACATTAAGGCACCAGGTCTGCTGCCAGTTCTTTCACACAAGTTATATTTAAAATGCAGTGTATCCGTTTTGGGGATCTAGGTCATGCCATAAATGTAATGTGGGAATATACAAGTGTGATCTGTATGACAACTCCCCTCTTACCCTGAATCCAAAACTGCGGCACCAGGATTTCATCTATTGTGGTTTTAAAAAGGACACAGATTTCCATGTACACACAGAATGCTCTCTGTATTACTTTATGCATGGCTTTGGCATTTTAATTCCTCCTTAACTAGTTACGTTCCTGAAGAAACAAAAAAACTCTGGAATCTCAATGTAGCTACTAATTGTTTGCTCTGCAGAAGAGGAAAGGTGATTTGCGTTGTCATGGTAAAGTTAAATATTAGCGAACATAACGTGGGTCTAGAAAGAAGTTAAAAAATAAAAATATATATATAACCCTAAATGGATGCCATAACCATAGATACAGGTTATACAGCCCAGGAATGCAATGAATTTGAGAACACGACTTAAAGGAATGTTTGCATAATACATAAGGATATGTACTTACAGGAGAGACCTGCAAACCACACCTTCAGCAGCTAAAGCTGTGAAATGGGGACTTTCTTTAAGGCCAATTTATAAGGATAAGAAATGTTGAATATTAAAAATGATTAATTCTCGTTTTCAGTAGAAATAATGCAGTAGAGATTTCACCTAGTGCTATGTACTTGGAGGTCTGAAGGCAAGGGGTGCTCACTGCTCATCCTCCTATCTGGAGACCCTTTTACTATGGATTGTTCTCAAATACTCCTTCAGCACGACTGAGAACCCAGATTCCCACCTTAATTGTGATAATGGTGGTCCAGAGCACTCTGTTTAGTAGTATAGCTCCTAAAAGGAGGTTAGATCCTAAATGGATTCACCCAGGCATTTATTGTGGAGAAATTTATGAGAAAGGACCACCCTCAAAGACCAGCAGCAGTAAACCGCAGTACCCATAAAGTCTGAAAGTCTATGAACCCCTCCCTGGCTAAAAGTCTACAGAGGACGGGACAAGCCCTATTCACAGGAATACAATCTGTTTTAAAATCTCCCCTCATCAACATTATAGTGATATAAACGACTAGATTGTACGTTTCTTTGAGTCGAGTGCTCCTCCTGCTTGCTTTGCATGCAGTTTGCATATTGGCATGGAACATGTTGGTTCTATTTCTAAATTAAAAGAAACTAAAAAAATATATATATTCTGCAAACTTGGAATTCCTGAATTTCCATTACTAAAGACCCAACTGAGCACTGCTCCCTTACCAAAAAAAAATAAAATAAAAAAAAAGGCACACTACTAGGAGTGTGGCCATTTTTGTTACCATGGAGGGTACTTGCGGTTACGGTTTTGGTTATATTTCTATGTTTAGACACTCAACTCGCTGTATTTGTTGACAACAATGATTCTCTCTGTCCTTTTTGGCCTTTTTCTAAGGTTGTAATTGTATTATCTTTCCACAATGAAAAAAAAAAAAATGGATAAAATAAAGAATGTAAAAAAAAAAAAAAGGCACACAAGCTGAGCACGCTCTGTCAGATCCACAATATATATCTACACGCGTCAGCTGATGGGCAGCCTGTGAAAACTGCTGCCCTATAGTATGAATGCTTCACATGCTACACCAAATAGTCTTAAATCTGTTTCAATACAGTGGCATTTGAATGCTACATACTGCAAGGTCACATTTTACATGTCCTGCCCAAGAGATGGAAGAAATGATGGGTGTCCTGCGAAATACGGTGGGGGTCTGGAAACCCTAGCTGGGGGAAGATATTCCCTCATACTCATGAAAAGCGAGCGATGCTTCCTGAGACCAAATGAAAGCAGATTTAGCAAGCATTATTTCTGTCATCCTCTGCGCATCACCCAGAGCTGACATTTCCTATTCTCTGAACTGCCTATAAAGCGTTACTGTATCCCTTCCCAGATTATACTGACGGAGAAGGCAGGCTGCACCATTTACAGGCCTGGATCAGATACTACATGCATGTTTGCTTTTACACAGTGCCGCAGGGCCTGCGCAACATGTTTTTCTAATTGTGGGATAAAAAGCACAGAGTATAATTAGGATGAAGGTCTTTGCAAGGAATGTGGTGTATCGTCTGGAAAATAGAAAGCAGGATTACCACGAAGTTGGCACAGTACCATTTGCTTGGCCTGGAAAGAAGACGGCTTTTTTTTTGCTGCCTAGAACATCTACCATATAGGGAAGTGCAGCCGTTATTGTATATCCCTCTATTTAGCAACACTAGCTTAGCTAAATAAAAGCTCTCAATACAGTAACATCACACAGAGCATCGCTCCTATGCAGATTGGGTGTGCCCTTATCAGCAGAGTGGCAGGACAGCACAGTCCCAAGATCATGGAGTGGGCAGTGGATAGGGTACTATGTGGCAGAGCCTTGTCTTCTGTCTTGCACAGGAAGGGCTGCGATAGACGGTATCGGTGCCAAGGAAGGCGGGTATAATAAAGTTTGGCATGGGAACAGCTGCCAGGCTCTTGATGAAAAGCAGCCCAGAGACGGGTATGTGCGAATACAACCCTCTCATCCTTCAAATCTGCGAGTGAATTTTTCTACGGGGCTGGGTATTCAGAGATAATATGCGAGACAAGGACCCTTTAACATACTCTGAAGAATTTAAACCATATCTGCTTGCAAAGCACAACACCACAGACCTCTGCTAGAATATGTCAGGCAGAGAGCCAAACTATCTACGTCACGCGTGGTAAGAACAAGATATATTACATACCATTTTAGTAGTCTGGTGGAAGCGTGAAGCTGCCTCTCAGCAGAGGAGGTGAAGACATTACTTTGCAATAGGATAGTAAGAGAAGTGTTGTATTACAAAAGGCAATTAAAATACCTGCAGTATAGAACTATTAAGCAGACTTTGTTTAACCCCTTAAGGACACATGACATGTGTGACATGTCATGATTCCCTTTTATTCCAGAAGTTTGGTCCTTAAGGGGTTAAAGTGGTGGCTGCTAAAGTGTGTGTGCCATTAGAACGTTAGCGCTACATAAATGAAAGTGATATTAGATGAGGAGTTTAAAAGGTCAGAGTGAAGAATGCATAGAAAGTAATGCAACAGATTACACAGCTAACATATTTCATTCAAATAAAAACACAGAACAAGGGGACATGGACGGGCTGACGAACCATAGCGGACTTTTTTTTTTTTTTTTTTAGTTAAATAGATTCCTATATATAGATATATAAAGAAAAATGTAGAAATTAAGAGAAAGGAATAAAAACACAACAATGAGAATAAAGAGAAAAATACATGGTCATGGTTTTCAATTAAACGTATATAGGGCTAAATGCAATCACAGCTTTATGTAAAATGCGTATCTTGTAATACCTGTTAATATTGGACTAAAAAAAAAAAAAAGGTATTACAAGATACGAATTGTATCTGTTTTTTTAAATCTACATCACTGGACTAATACGCTACAATCTCTACTTGTAAAATACATAATATTTTTTTTTAAATAATGTAGTAGTTCTAGCCATTTAATGTAAACCTCAGTGCATATTGGAGGAACATACGTTCTAAAACTGGCATTTATCAGGAAGCTAAAGGTTAACAAGGTACAGTATTGGTGGACTATTTACATGTATATTTTTTAACAGATTACTGGCAGAACAGAAAGCATGACGTCCATTTGGCATTCAGAGGGTTAAAGCTAGCTCATGCTGACGCAGAGCCAGCGGGGCATTGCCCAGGGCACAGACCCATGTTTCTTACCTTGCCTTCAAGTCCTTGTACTCTTCCCGAATTTTGCCGAGTTCCAACTGGAGTCGTGCTCTTTCCTTGGCCACCGAGTCTAGGGTCTTACGAGCATCGGCCAGTTCCGTCTCGTAAGCGGACTTGATGCCAGTCACCTCGCGGCTCACTACCTCTTCTGACTCAGTGATTCGAAGCCTTAGCCCTGCGTTCTCCGACTCCAGGGAACGCACTTTGTCGATGTAGACAGCCAACCTGTCATTGAGGTCTTGCAAATCTTCTTTCTCCTGCAGCCGGGTGATCCGTGTTGGGGAGAGCGGAGTGGAAGATTGGTTGCTCCTGGTGGTCCTCTTGTGCCCTGGGGTCTCCATGGCTGTACGTTCTTTGCTGGATCTGCAGCAGTGACTGTTCAGAGAGAAAGTCTATATGTGTGATCTGTTCTCCTCCTCTTGCTGACAATCATGCAGTGCATGTGATCTTCCAGCATTTCAGCTACCAGCCACTGGGAGGTACACAGGAGGAGCTACAGCAGCAAATGGAAGTGAAATTACAGGAATGACTTGTGCTCAGTTTTGTACCAGCTATCACAAGAAATAAACTAGACAATTGGCAGTCATTTAACCTGATTAGGATGACACCAGAGCTTGCACTCTAATTCATGTAACAATTCCAGATCTCATACTTACCCAGCTTGTCCTAATCGAGAACAGGATATGAGCAGTCAGTCTTTTTTCCCCTTCAAGAAACCAACTGCAGAGAGTCGAACAGCAACCTGCAGATAAAAATAGAGTATAAACAAACAGAGTGCGATATATAGTTTTATTTTCTAAGATTCAACAGCTGCCAACGAAACGACAAGTCAGGATTTCTTTCCAAATTACGGTTTCATCCAAGTGTTCCTTGATATTTATTTAATATTTATGTTGTTGTACAAGACATGAAAACAGCTGTCCTGCAGTATGTAAAATTCTTGTTTTACAGTAGGGAAATTATTGGCCAATCAAGTAAGTTCCTTTGGGATTCCTCCTTGATGGATCGATTGCTATATCTGTGGTATACAGGTTATACATACTGCAAGGCAGCATCTTTCCTACACTGCCCCTCAGGATTTAGAAGTGAGCTGTTCAGGAAAACAGGGCGGACCTCCTAAACCTTCTGACAGCACTAACCATAGCTGTTATTTATCACTTGTCCAAAAGCTAAATTCTATTTAGGAGTATTAATGTTTTGACCTATGTATAGGTTATAAACTAGTTTGGACAGATCTCTCCTGCATGCAAGTTAAAGTTGTAGTGACGTTTATCCACCCATAGTGCAGGGCATTATATTAAAGGAAGACTCCAAGCACCATAACCACTTACGCCACATCCCGTCTACTTCTGAATGTAGAGGCTCCCAGCCTGCATGTCCCTGCGAAGCTCAGCAGAGCTAACCAGATTTTTCTAAAATAGAAGAATGGAAGAGGAGTTTCTGGCCTTGGGCAGGACCTAGGTCAGTAGGCAAACCGTACTAAAACAGATGGTGCCAGGGCTGTAGTGGTTATGGTGCTTTGAGTGCTTATTTAACATTTGGCACCGCGATTGTTAAAAACTAAATTTCTCATAATCCCATGTCAGATGTTCAGGAAAAGCCTACAAAACTCAATTGTCAAAACTCAATTAGAGGCTATAAACAGTTTGCTCAATATTAATAAATAGTATAGACCAGGCTGTGGCACTCCAGATGTTGTGGACTACATGTACCCAAATGCTTTGCAAGCATTAAGGCAGTAAGAGTATTATGGGAGATGTAGTCCACAACACAAAGAGACACTTGCTCTTATAAAAGGGTTTTAGAAAATGTCTTCTCCATGTCAAAATTGTGGTTAAAATAGCCAGTTAAGAAACATTCTACAAATCCAGACACACACACACATATATATATATATATATATATATATATATATATACACACACACACACACACACACATATATATTCTCTCTCTTTCCCTCCCCCCATTGTAGCCTGTATTTTGCCATTCCGATTTAGTTCAATAGAACTCTGTGTTTTGGAAAACCAACACTGATAAGTAAATAGGCAACTTCAAGTACTTGATCACTTTAGAATTATAATGCAATTCCCACTGAACTAAACAAACACAAAATTATAGTTCAAAGCACGGGAAAAGAGACACCCCCCATTTCCATAATTCTACACTTGATACCAATTAGCCTTCAATAGAAATTGCACACTGATTAGTGGCATGCAGACAGAATGATTATTATTTTATTTATATAGCGCCAGCAAATTCCATAGCGCTGTACAAGGGGTATGATAATACAAAAATAAAAATACACTTACTAGAGAGAGAGAGATGATCTGCACAACTCCCAGCTCAAAAGAGGCAAAGGGTGGGATAGCAGTAATTATCCAATTATCTTTGGCAGGGCAGTCCATCATTTGAGTAATTAACAACCAAATTACAGAGTTAAATGAACACTACAGGTAGGACTTGACCCATTTTTGATTTAGTGTATTAGATACTGCATTATTAATATGTATGGAAAAGCTATGTGTTACAAATATATATAACACCCACTCTTGCAGTCCCTGCATTCTCAGAACTACCAAGTGTCCCTGTTTAGGAAGGGAAAGTCCTTATTTCTGGCATAAATCAATCTATTCCACGTTTTTGTCCTAATGTACCTTTTTTTTTCTAGCAGCTCCATATAACTGTTGTGTCTGAGTGTAGAACAGAACTCCACAGAAATAAATACAATAAATGTGTTTAGTAACCAGCAACTTACATAATTTGTTATTAGTAAATCACCTCAAATTTCTCAGAACAGCCCAACCCATGGTCACACCCCTAAAATTAAAATGTCCATCTTTGTCCACTTATGTATATGTATTCCCAGAAATACCTCCAGGCTGTGCAGGACTTGGAGTGTTCTCAGCAAACCAGGGGATAACTGATGTGTGTGCCTTAAGATTACTGCAAGTGTTTCTGGGAGTTGTAGTTCAATTGTCAACTTCCACCTGAAGAACACTAGTAGGGTTATCCTCTAAAGCTGGCTTCCACAAGCTCCGGCCCTCCAGATGTTGTTGAACTACAACTCCCATGATTCTATGAATGAAATAGGCTGAGAATCATGGGAGTTGTAGTTCAGCAACATCTGGAGGGCCGGAGTTTGGGGAAGCCTGCTCTAAAGTGAGAATTCAAAGTGAATTTAAACTTCAAGGTTAAAATAGCTGAACCGAACTAATTCTCTAAGTCAGCTATGCTTTTGGATCGGCTACTCTGGCCTTGAAATTCTCTTAGAATTGACTTTGTAAAAGCTGAAATTTAACTCACAGAAAGCGAAACATGATGTACAACAGTGCCCTTTGGGGCATGAAAACAAGACACTGCTGAAGGGAAGGGTGTGGCAGAAAGGGTGGTCCTATTGGATCAAAAATAATTACTAATTAGTATATTAAAAAATAAAAGTAAATTAAAATAATATATTAAGACTGAGAAAAAAACTCAAACAAATAGTAAAATAACCTACATATTACACCTAATGTGTATGCCAGAAGATCCCCTTCCAGGCAACAGTAGGGGTGTTTCAGTGGATCCACCTGGTTATAGCTTGTTAAATTTAATTAAAATACCATTGCAATCTGAGGTTACACAGGTCCTGCAGGTAGCCTTATATAAAGGAACACTGCAGATCCCTAAAGCACGTTTGCTTGCTTAAATGTATTATATGTGAAGATTGTGTTTTTGGTTTTTTTTCTTAATTTTACAAGAAGTGGAGATTTAAATAGAAACTTGCATTTTTATAAATTAGCCTTGTTACACCCCTTGGCTGTCAATCAGGTAACAGATCATGTCACTTCCTGGTTTATTTAGCTCACTGGAACAAAACTCAAGAGACAGTAATTGCCCAGAGTTGCATTGGGCAGTCTGTTATTGGACAGCCACATAAAGTTTGGGCGGGGTTAGAAGGGGAGGGCTTGCAAAGGCTGCAGACAAGAGATCTGCAGCTTTTTCTAGCAGTTTTTATATATATATTTATTCCCCCAATGAAATAAAATGCATAATTAAATGCATGCATGTTTTATTGGGGGTCTATTTACAAAATAGTACCCCTTTAAAGATATATTACTATATTAATAATGTGGATCTTCTCTCCTAGAAAAGATGGGCATTAGGATAGAACACAGGAACAGAGGGATTTGAATGAGGGGCGTGTCCTATTTCAGATATGTGGACGGGGTTCTACGGCACTGAGAGCTATTAATACACTGAGGCCACACTCCCCTCACTAATAGCCACAGACGAAAATGCATTATTTGGCGAAGAAACTGAGCATTGTTTGTTGTATGTGTTTTTCACGTTTTGGTGGGGTGTATTAGGGATGTTATAATTATTTTATTTTATTAAATTTTTTATTTTAATAAGTTCTTAACTGGAAATGTAAGAGTATTTTGCTAGCTCTATGGCTGGCTATGTAGGAGCCAAAATAATTGGTGATGCTTATGACCATGTAATTATGTCCATGAGGATAGCCATCTTCTATTATATAACTAACTCACCATAGTGACTGCATTGTAGTTTAGTGTGTTCACAATTTCTACATTTAGTTCATTCTAAGCTATCACACCTTGATTGATCTTATATTACTTATCAGTGGTTGGCACATTTGGCCTTCCCCATAGGAAAGCACTGATTTAGAATACGCTTGACATTCTCATGCAAAGCATGAGGACGTCGAGCATTGTTTCACGGAGTTAAACTCCGTGAGACAGCAGGAAGCATCTGGCTCTCTGGTAGACAGCTAGTAGAGACAATCTTAACGGGACACTCCAGGCACCCAGACCACTCCTGCCCATTGGAGTCATCTGGATACCAACTCCCATCACCCTTAACCCTGCAAGTATAATTATTGCAGTTTTTATAAACTGCAATAATAACCTTGCAGGGTTAAGTCCTCCTCTAGTGGCTGTCTATCAGACAGCCATGAGAGGGACTTCCGTGTTCTTAGAACATGAAAAGTGTTTTAAACGACGCTGGACGTCCTCACGCTATGCACGAGGACCTCCAGCATTGCTGGAATCCCCATAGGAAAGCATTGGTACCTAAATGCATCCTTAATGACTATCTTTGTTGCATTTTTCCCACTTTTATTTCCCAAACAGGCTGATAAAGGCATTAAGGGCACCTCAGATTGCTTCCAGGGATGCACTTGCTAAATTCCTGAGGGACACAAACAGGGCAATGCTCATGTGGGCCACCGAGAACTCCCCCACTTTATTTGAAGGGTTGCAACTCACCTTCTTCAGTGACAATCCCTCCATTCACCTACTAAGCTATTAAAGGAGAAAGATATCTTCTACAAGCAAGAACCCCAGCGGCTGCTGGTGGACCGAAGTGGTGAAACCTACTCAATCGCATCTATGGCTGAAGCTCTCACCTTTCTGCAAGTGATGGAATCATTGTTGCCAAGGATGCACCACCAATGGAATGTTGGCACTATTGTACCCTTAGTGCCGGCGGACCCAGCACATCCACGACAGAGAAGCTTCCTCCATGATGCATTTTAGCACAAATTGTCTACACTTATAGTCTATACAGTTAGCCTGGCTCTGTAAGCTAAAGTTCTACCTTTCTTATGCAAACTCTCCTCTATATACCTTCTTTTTTTAGGAATAAGCCATGTGCTACCTATATAAGTACCCTGTGTCCATTTTACCTCTTTTCTGGGCACAGCACTCTGGCTGACCTCTTCTTTTTTTATCATTTCTAAATTTAGCAAAAACTTATGCCTAATCCATGCTGTATATTCATTTTTGTTTTCTGCATATTATGCAGCCATTTTTTAAAAAATAAAAAAATAATGTGGTTACTATGGCTATTTTTTTTTTACCTTTTGTACTTATGCTGCACCAGAAGAAGCAAAACGAGTATTACAGTTAGCCTGTGATTTTCATTTTTCATCAATTCTTTGCTCAGTCACTGGAACTCCAAGGCATTCCACTTTCCTTGGACATCTGGAGAAGAGAAAGTGAAAGGGACTGGGTACAGGAAGCTCTATCATTTCCTTAAATTAATGCACAAATCCATAGATTGTCTAAGGCTTTGCATATTTTTTTTCTCCCTATCTAAATCATAGCTCTGTACGCAGGACTCTATCTGTCCTGGTATAAAAACCCAGAACAAAGAAACAAAAAAAACAAGAGGATCTGGATTTCACTGCTGTATTACTATTAAGCCACTTGCCTCTCAATAACCTCTATGCGCAAACTAACTATAGCTCACAAAGGCTCATTAATCTGCCGATTTCTTCACTATGCATAGAAATGGTCTTTTTCCTTTCTGTCCCTCTGCATTTCTGCAGATGGTCTGTAAATGCCAGCTCCCATCCTCATCCCACACACCAGTGCAGGGGCAGTCAACATTTGGCACTCCAGGTGTTGTGGTCTATATCTCCGCAGATGCTATGCCTTATGGTTATACGAGCACTACGGGAGATGTAGTCCACAACATCTGGAGTGTCAAAGGTTGCCTGCCCCTGCACTAGAAGAAGCTTTGTAAGTCTCTTTCATGGTTGGATTCTAGCAGAGAAGATGAGAAGACTCTCAGTGCAGCTCTTTGCAGTATATAATATCTTGTATTTCAGCCAGACGTACACTGATCAACCATACAATAGAAGCTCCAGATTCAACCCCATTTAAACAAGGGAGAGAACAAAGCCCTGATATTGGATTTCTGGCAACTTATTATAGCCGAGCTGGCAACACTAAGAGAGGACCTGTACACAGCGATGGGCAGCGATAGGACTGTGCAGGAGGACACAGCTAATGTAGGACTGCGGGAACCCATGTAATGTTGCGTTGTAGATGGGGATGGAGTCCAGCACAGGGGCAACTCTGCAGATGCAGCTAAACTTTCTCTACAGGCCCTTGATATTCTCCTTATAGAGACTGCCATTGCAACAAAAGGTCCCCATTGTACATGAGACATGGACAATATTGCCCCTTTTGGGATCCATTTGGCCCAGAATGAAAAGCTCTTTTTTAAGATACGTGGGCTATTCACTTATTCAAAAAAAGGGTGGAAGCTAGGGAGGAGGGGAAATACTGTTCAGGTAGTATGAGCATTTTCAAGGGAAGTGGTTATTTAGAAGATAAGAAAGGTGAAGAATACATCTGGAATAGTAAGCAAATGTATTAGTATCAACAAATCACAATGACGGATTCTCTCGTTACAATCAGGAAGTAAACAACAAATTATAGAGTGTTGAGTTTAGTTAGTAAATTTATTAATGTCAAAAAATCACAATGATAGCTACTGCAGTTACAATAAGGAATTACACATCAAATTATAGAGAGTATTGAGATTAGTTAGTTGTAGTGTAGTGAAAATATTTTTTTCTTTAAATATGTGATCCGAATGAGATACTGGGATCCAACCCCATACCGATAGATTGATAGGAACTCACTACGGCAAGGTTACAGTTAGAGTTTAAAGTCATAATGCTTAATTTGGGATTAGATGTGTTTAGGCAATTTAGTCTTTATTCTAAACCAGGGCTGTCCAACCCACAGCCCGGCGCCGCTAGCAGTGCGGCCCGGTTGCCGTCCACACTGCTGGGCGGCGATGGAGGCAAGGAGCCCTTTACATACTATGCTCCTCATGGATAGCTCCTTTTGTGCGCCCTCCAGTGAGCCAGCAGCCGGGATATGACGTCATCCCGGCATTGGCATCACTGCTGGGCGCGCAAGGGACCTGTGAAGGAAATGCACAGAGATCCCAGGCCAGCAGTAACCGCTAGCCACCAGGGACATAGGATCCATTCCAGCCCTCCCAGAGCAAGGTAGGGAGTACTGAATGTATGAATGTCATTTTTGTGTATGTTTTGTCAGTGATTGTGGGTGTGGGGAGGAGGGGGGTCTGTGTGTATGTGTGTGTATATCAGTGGTCATGTGTTTGTATGTATATGATTGTGTTTGTATATGTATGTAGGTGTTTCTGTGTGGGTCTGATTGTGTGTGTGTGTGTGTCTATGTATAGGTCTGTGATTGTATGTGTGTATATCTGTGATTGTAGGTGTGTATATCTGTGATTGTGTGTATAGTTATATGTGTTTGTAAGTCTGTAATTGAGTGTGTATGTCTGTGTGTATATTTGTGATTGTGTGTATAGGTCTGTGATTGTATGTGCATGTGTGGGTCTGTGATTGTGTGTGTACATCTGTGATTAGGTGTGTGTATGCATGTAGGTGATTGTGTGTATTGGTCTATGATTATATATGTGTGTCTGTGTATAGGTGTGTAATTGTATGTGTGTGTGTCTGTGATTATGTGTGTATATGTCTGTGATTGTGTGTGGTTATGTATGGTTATGTATGCATATGTATATACATGTGAATTTGTTTAGTAGATAGCTCCCTAAGTTAGTATCCTTAAATATGGCAATACCACAGAAGGATAATAAATAAGGGAGTTATCTACTAAACAGATTTTATGTGCGGCCCAAGACAATTCCTCTGCGCTCAATGCGGCCCAGGGAAGCCAAAAGGTTGGACATCCATGTTCTAAACATTATTGCTACTGTTACCAGTATTTAAAGAAAAGCTTATTTTTTAGCAACCCATATTTCATACGTCATGGTGTACCACAGCCTAGAGTTGTGATACGTTTAAATGACTTTAATAAATGTGTGTGTCATCCTGTAACACAGCCTCAATTTGTGATAAGTTTGATTTACTTATATAGATGATTTTGTTACATGTGCATGGCTGTTTTGCACACAGTGTGAAGATCATTAAGTGATCTAGAGATAAGAAGGATGTGAAAATTGATCCTTGGGGGAACTCAACACTCAAACGTTGATCAAGTGAGAAACATGGCTCATATGACACACAATTTGGGGCCTGTTAGAGGAAAATGATGGAAACCAGTTGAGCAGTGAATGCTTCAAAGACAGCTCCAAAAGACAGTTTTGGTTAAGAACCTCTATATGTTCTGAGTTTAGGGTATAAACTCACAAGTTCAGTTTATTCAAGGCCTGCCAGTCCCACTATGCATTGCTGTAGAAATATCGCATGTTGATGTTGCTCTTCCATAGACCAGTAAAATTAATTGTCTGCATGTAGTAAAGACATTTCTCTAGACGAAAACCTATCTATAGTGAAAATTGCAAAATACCCAAAGACTTGCCACTCTTCCAACTCGACTAATGAAGTCACAGCCCTTGTTCACAGGAACGTGATCTTCTTGCTTACCTAAATACACATAGGCACGGAAAAGGCAGGATGGAAAATGAAAAACTGTGTAAAGGTAGAAAATGTTAAATTGGTGAGATATTAGTGCTAACAAACACCTGCTGCCATGTCACTCCATACAACAAAATAAATCCAGTGTCAATAATAAAATAAAGTGTAAGTGCATAAATAACACACAGAACAAGTATTAAATATACATCAACACTACCCTCCTTGGGGATCTAACAGTCAAAATCTGCAAAACACTCAGAAACACGTCTTATGTACTATGCAAAAATATGGTGAAATAACTCGGGTATTGGAAAGGTCTTTGAGAAAGTCCCAGGGGGAGGTCTTTTTTATTTTATTTGTACACTCCATGTGGATTATATTTGTGTTTTTATTTCCTATAAGCAGCAATAAAGTTTAGGAATTGCCCATATTGGAAGCTGTTCCTGTCTTTATTTGGATGTGGCCGGACCATCTACAGAGGAGTGAGAAGCTGAGAAGAATCCTTGAGTGGTACAGAGCACAGAGGATGATCTGTCTTAAGCCCTGAAGTCTGAGTCAGCTGGAATTGACTCAGCAGTATGTGAGTGGAAAACCTTTCCAATACCAGAGTTATTTCACCATATTTTTCCATACTACACCGTGAGTTGTGTTTCTGTGTGTTTTTCATAGATTTTCAAATACTACTAAATAAAGAGCACAACCATAAAAATAAAAAGACACTTTATTAAATAGGTCCACAAGAGCAGGTATCTCAAGATGCCTATCAGACAATCGAAGCATAAATCACATGACAATAGTAAAAAAAAAAAATGCAAGACATTCTGCAATTACATCCGAGCATGAATGATGACAAACAGATTCATAAGTAACAGAATTACTATCAAGTCATAAAGATACCCGGACATACCAACCCAACAAATAATTCATATAAGACAAACCAATTCATACCAGAAATAGTGAGAAGAGGGGAAAAGTCAACCAGCAAGACCCCAATGTTTCGGCAGAAAAAAAATGCCTTTATCAAAGGAGCATTTTGTAGATTTTAACAGTTATATCCCCAAGGAGGGTAATGTTGGTGTATATTTAATACCTTTACTGTGTGCTATTTGTGTACTTACACCTGCACTTTATTTTATCCTTGAGACAGAAAGGCAGGATGCTCGTTCCGGTTGGCACACTGCACAATTGACCAATTGCAATTCTTGTAAATCTTTGAAACCCAAACGAAAACACAACAGAATTCATGGAGAAATCATTACATAAGACTGATAAACCGTGTAAAGGCCACTTTGAAATATTTAGAGATAGTGTCCCTGAACGTGCCTTAGACATTCAAGGCACACCCCTTCAATATCACAAGACAATGATCCCAAGAAGAGAATTGGTGTTTCAGCAATGGATATGGAGCTGCCTTTTCCCACAAGCCATGGACGGTGCATTGTAGTCCGCTAAGATTAAGCGCTCACTATTCACATACTAAACTCAGCTAAAAGCCTCATACCATTATTTTCATCAAATGTTAAACTGGCAAGATCGAGGAGCTTTGTACTATGCAGCAACTTACTATTACCACCTCAGACAATGTGGCTGTTTACATGGATGTTCAGTGTTCAATAATGCCCCAAATATGCTTCTACTCCTAGATATATTCTCCACAAAACCCTCTGTGGAATTTTGGTAGTAATACTACTGCAATATCCGGTTATTTTTATTATATTATGGTTATTTATAGCGGTAATGAGCACTTGTGTTGCTTACTCTTATTGTTAGCATGTGTTAGCTATTTTTTAAGATTTTACTTTTATTATTTACCAAGCTATAAAGGGAAGGGGTACAAATAAGAAAAAGGGGATGAAGGAATAGCGCCAACTTGTATTAGCTATTTTAGATGTACTCTATAGATATGTGCTCTTATTTGTTAGTACTTTATTTGCTTGCTCCCCCCCCCATTTCTAATTTCTGTATGCCATCAAGATATTTTTTCAAACCTTATTAAAATCCTATTTTCAAAAGATTAAGTAATATTTTCATGTCCTTTGTTCATCGACGGAATGTATTTGGGCTTTCTGCAACACAAAACTTTAAAGGGACACTATAGTCACCCAGGCCACTTCAGCTCTTCAGCCAGGTCCCCCGGTATTAACCCTTCAGATGTAAACATAGCAGTTTCATAGCGTTTTAACCCCTTCAGCAACACGGGAGGGGGCCCTGAGGGTGCGGGGGGTCCCAAGGATGATATAGTATCATGGAAAACGAGTTTGTTTTCCTGACACTATAGTGATCCTTTAACCTTATTAGAAAAAAAAGCTTTAGCTTTTAAACTAAATGAATTAATTAAAAATGATAAAGCTGTAAAGTCACGAACTAAATGCGTAGATATTATTAGAATGATCACAATTCCGGTTTTCCCCCTGCTAAATACAGATGGGAAAAAGGACTTACAAATTAAAATAGATATGAAAGAGTGGTGTGTGGCCTCACAATCCATATACTCTGCGGTACACTGTTTAAATATAATGGAGGCACATTATAAATTGTTGAATATGTGGTACTTGACTCCTGCCAAATTAGGTAAATTCTCTAATTCTGATACTCAGAAATGTTGGAGGTGTGGATCAGAAGGGGCAGATGAGATACAAATATGGTGGAATTGTATCCCGATTAGGAGAGCTTGGGACCAAATTTTACTAGAAATTAACACGCTACTGGGTATTACACACCATTGGACACGTGAAACAATTTTATTTCATCTAAAATTACCCCAAATATCAAAACAGATGAAATGGTTTCTGATTCATGCATTGATGGCTTTTAAAATATCTATAGCCAGAAACTGAAGAAAGACAACAATAGACCTCTGGCTTCAGGTTAAGGAGGCTATTAGATCCCAATGTAAAATGGAAAGAGGCCTTGCCTCTCAATTTTGTATTCATTCTTATAGTTACAAAATTTGGGATAACTGGATTAAGACTCTTGATCTTCCCATTATGGATCGAATCTGAAGACCTCAGTTGTCTGGTCAGTCTCCATCACAGGTGAATATTCCGACTCAGAATAAAAAAGAAAAAAGAAAGACACAAACATGTTGATTGAAATTAGAAGTGTTAACGATTTGTTTTTATGTATACAGTTTATGTTGTATGTATCGTCAAATGTTATATATGTTAATGATATATGTATTAATACGCTCAAATACATGACTAGGGACAATGGATAATTGTCTCTATATGCTTGTCCATATTTTGTGAAAAAACTACTTAATAAAATATTTATTAAAAATAACTAAAAGTCATATTTTCCAACTACATATTAACTATAAATCTGATCTAAAAACTATGTCTCCAACAACATGTACCATGAAAGAATCAGTCTTCAACACTTGGCTCACACATAAAACAGTCCAATGCTATCTCATTGAGACGGTAACATTAAAAAGAAACAGACAAGTTAGTTTTTGCTGTGACTCCTTCAAACACAAAAAAAGTCATTCCTCTATCACCCTGTGATCTCCCATGTCATAACTGAATTGTGTGCGCTCCAATTACAGCAGACAGAAAGGTGTTTATTCAAGGTAGGCCAAACCTCCTATGCCTTTGGCAAAAGGGAGGGGAAACTTCTAGCAGACAAATTAAAGACAGCCAACTGCAAACCACAATTCATTATAGAAAACAAAATAAAAACAGAAAAAAAGAATGCAAAATATCCACACCCTCTAAATGAGTGTGTTAATTATTTGGATTCCCTTTACTGATACGCAAAAACAGAGATACATCCCGATCTACCTCTGTTCTTATTAACCCATTCCAAGCATGTATTGCTACTAGGTGACCCTTTTTACAGAACTTAAAGTCTACACAGCTGTTTCTGCTCTTCCCAAACAGGATATCTCTTGGCCTTGATGAGTTTTCAGACTAGTATGATGCTACTTTGCACAGCTTCTCAGCCAGTGTAAGGATACATACCCTTTCACAACTCCACTCACCTGAGGCACCTACCTCCCCAAGTAGGCACCACATCAGTTTCACTAACTCAGATACCTTTGACAGTGTTCATGTAGACCTTCCCATTTTTAAATAATCTCATTAAGTCACACTCTGCTTGTTTGTTCATTGCTTATTCTCTGTATGTTGTACATTAAGCCTAGCCACTCAAAGATCCAATAATATGTATGTATTTTCCAATGATATGTATGTATGTAATATGTATGTATTTTTCCTTGTCCTCTGTGACTATTCTTGCTGGTTGATGAACTATCCTGACAACCAGAAGCTTACAGACCTGTAACAAAATCATGAGTAAACCAGTCTACTAATTTACTCCACTAATGTCAAAGGATTGGTTTGTCCTGCTAGCTTCTGGATAGGAGAAGTTAGCACAAGGGATGATAACAAAGGTGTGTTAATGGGAAAGTCCAACCATGTAAATTAAGTCAAGATGGCTACACCCAGCATTTGGACTGGTGATATTCCACCTTTATGCTTCAGACTTGTCATGAAATTACATGACTTACAGTAATACAATCATTACTTGCTCAACTCTCCAATTCGCATGTCTATCCTGTATTTCTGATCCATGCTGATATGCCATAAACTGACTCTGCCCATGAAACACATCTCATTGCTGCAGTAATGCCCAACAACCCATCTATTCAGCATGCTTCAACTCTTTACATCTTCAAAGCTAACTAATATAACCTAAAATTAACCTTGTAATGGCTAGAGGCTATGCAAATCTTGTGGTAGTTTAGGTGTGTGAGTGACAGTAGTTATAGTGAACACGGACGCCGTGTATGCAGAGAGCAGGTTATAGATAGACATTAGGCCTGTAGTAAAGTCTTCCCCCCAGAGCAAGAGCAGATATCAACAATCCAAATAACTTTTCTTCTCGGAGATGTAAAGTCACTATTCTCATAAGATATTCCAAATTGATGGTCTAGTGCTAGGTCTAACAGCTTGCTGAGATAATAGAAAGTTCAATATGCCACGGTCCTCTCTCAGTGTGTGTGTGTGGGGGGGATGACTCACTTTGAGGGAACTTTGCCTGGGTGATTACAGGAATGCGAGACATGAGACCTTCTTGCTTTCCCTCAACCTAATATTGGCCCCCAGGTTATAAACAGACACTTGCCTTTCCTCATGTATACACCTCATCTGCCACAGTCTTCCAAGGGCTTTTAATGTCACTTAATGAAGGTCGCACATACATAGATGTCCACAACCCATAATTGATCTGAATTTGCAGAATTCCTTGTCTGTTCGCATTATAAAGTCACATTGTCAAGTATCACTCAATGCACAGGATGAGCTGCCTGTCAGTGATATGAATTGCGCATTGTATTATGTGCATTTAATTGGCTAACTCGGCTCTTGGTGAGATGAAACATGTATCTCTATGTATGAAGTCTCAAAGTACTGACTATATTATTACCAAAAGGTAACAGGTCTTAGGCAGACTCTCTGTCTGAGGGTTAAAGGCTTGTGAGAGGCCGCACTAATTCAGGGATAGCCAACAAGATATTTGCTGCTATACAAATCCCATGATTCCAATTAAACATGTGAAAGGACAAATTGACAGTTGTCTGAGAATGATGGCAGTTATATTTGGACAGCCGCCAGAAAGCTACCAATGGCTCATTTCCTTCTCTAAGAAAACATACCATTACTGTGCACTACCCTAAACAACCACTAGGAGGAGCTAGCAAAGGGAATGCATATAAGGGGGTCTTCAATGAAACTTGTTAATCATAGTTCTCCTGTCTTACAAAGTCACCCCACAAAAAAAGAAAAATGGGCAGAAAATTTAGATGCAGCTAGGAGAAAGATGTTAATCCTTCATGTAAAGTTACTATTGTCAGCTCCACAAAACCACATATAAAAACCTATTATTTTAAACCCTAGAAAGCACTGAGTGGGGGCGTGGTCTGACTGTCGATGAGACCAGACGTGTTCTACTAGAGCTCCGTTCCACCGGCGCCTACAGCTACAAAAAGCGACCTAAAGTTGCGAAATTTTCCTCCTCACATAACCTACCATGGATAGAAGACCTCCCAAGAAACAGCCCAAGAGGACCACGGAGTCCGGGGGCTCCGTTTTAGACCTTCTCACAGCTTCTCGGCATAGCCGCGCTGACAGCCAAGATGGCGACGGGAGTTCCCCACACGCATCGCCTGGCGCGGATAGAGAGGCCCTCTCTGCGGAACAGAATACTGTTCTAACAAAACTGGCAGAAGTTAGATCTTTCCTTGCGGGGGAGATCGCCAAATCGACGGCGGTACTACAGGCAGATATATGCGCCCTGGGAGAGCGTACTGCTAAATTGGAGGAACGTGTGGAGGCGACTACACAGGCCCACAACACCGCCGTCGACAGAGTGAACCGCATGACGGCTCATGTTATTGATATGGACCTGGCCCTGGAAGATATGGCCAATCGCTCTAGGAGGAATAACATCCGCCTGAGAGGCTTACCAGAAAGGCCAGAGGAAGACTTACAAGGGCTGCTAATGTCGATCTTCCAGCCCCTCCTTCCACACATTTCGGAGGAACACTGGCATATGGAGAGAGCCCACAGGGCGCTGAAGGTACAAAGAGCGGAGACCAATACCCCGAGGGATGTCATTATAAACTTTCTATATTATAAAACCAAAGAGGCTTTGATGAAAAAGAGTAGAGAGGGTCCTATCCGATATGAAGGAGCCCTTATCTCATTCTACCAGGATCTGGCCCCTTCGACATTACAGAGGAGAAGGGACTGGCGGCCCATTACTGGGGCTCTGAGAGGGGCAGGCCTGAAATACGCATGGGGTTTCCCCTTTAAGTTGATGGTTTTCCGAGATGGCCGTGCACACATCCTGTCACCGGGGGGAGACCCGAAGCGCCTGTTCCAGGGCCTGGGACTACAGCCTCCCCCGGATCTGCCCAACTTGGCGATGGGACCGGAAGAACTGCCGCAGATGCAAGCGGAGTGGCACGGAGTGGGACCGAGAAGCCAACGTTGAATATAGCGGTATCGTATTATCCTCCTATACCTGCAAGGGGTATTATTGTTTTTTTTTCCCTTTTTTTCTCCCTTATTGTGGGCGGCCGAGACTTTCTCCTTTTTGTTGGGCGGGGGAAGGGACTGGGAACTTAGAAGCACTTGCTGCGCTTGGGCCTTCCCTCTAAGTCGGCTGATTGTGACTGTTTTTTTTTGCCGGGGAGATCGGGGCTGCTTGTTTTTTGTCCCCCGGTTAACCCTTACTTATCCTGCGAGTTTATTGACCTGAGACAATTGGGGCAGCGACGATGGGGTATAGAGGCTCACGCTACCCCCCCTGGGGATGGAACACCGCACCACATGTGTTTTATTTTATCTTTGGTTTTTCCACTCTGGACCGGTGCGGGGAAAGAATATTATACATGGGACTCTGAAAATTTGGACTGTATAATGTAGATTGTGTGTGCTTGTACTAATGGCATTATTAGGGTTCGTTATGCAGCTCGGGGTCTGTAGAGTAGGCGGCCCGCATATCCTCACCCTGGGCGGTACCTCCCCTATTGGTTATTTTTTTTTTTTTTAGCCCCGTGTTTTTTCTGGTTGCTCCTTACTCAGGGCCCCGAAACCTTTCCCCTAAACAGGGAGTCGAAATTTTAACTTACGACAAAACACAAAATATAAAAATCATATATATAAAAAAAAATTAAAAAAAGGAAAAAAAATAAATAAATAATAAGTTGCGTATAGGGAGGGGCGGGGTTGACGGGCATAGAATGTGTTACTCGTAGGGGTTTGGTAATAATGGGGTGAGGGGGCGGACCTTTGGTAATACATGGTTTAGGCTCACTTTATGGTAGGGGTAACCGTAAGGGCTTGGGGTGGAATTATAGGGCCGTAAGTTTTAATGGCGTTTTTCATTATTTTAAAGGTCTTTCTTATAGAAAAGAGGGGAGCCAAACATTATGCATTTAGAGTGGAGTTGGGCAGGGACTGGAATTCCCCCCCCCGCGGCTTCAGAGGGTGATACGGAAAATGGAGGCTAGGGCATGATGAGAGTCGACCAATGGAGTTAGGAAACAACAAGGGGCAGTGTTTCAAACTTGGCGAAGCCTCACTTAGTTTCCCCACTGACAAGGGACTGGTATGCTTATGCACGTAACGGTGCACCTAACCGGCGGTCCAGCATGTGTAACTATTCTCTCCCCTCTGGGGTTGCGGGCCCCAGTTTATGACTTCCGACGGTGGGCCTTGCCCCGGGCGCCCGCGGACCCGCTTTGCTCTCCTTGGGTGGGTGGGGTGGGCCGCGTTCGCCCTGGGGGGGCTACCATGACTTGGATAATATGGGGGCCGCTGCCTCCTGTGCGGCTGCTTGTCCCCTCCGGCTGGTCCTGTGCTGGATTCGAGGGGTCGGCCGGGGGGGGCGACCACCCGGTCGGGCGGGCGGCGGCTTGCAGGGTGAGGGGGGAAGGGATCATCAGCTGCAGCGGGTGGAGGGAGGGTGCCATGGAGGTAAATGCACGTTTCTCCCTTTTGTTAGTTCCCTATCTGTCACGATTCGGGGAACCAAACACGCCAACACACACACACACACAAAGTGCCGTACCGGACCTTAGAGTGGCCGGGCTAAGCACACAAAGAATAGTCAGAAAACAAGCCGAGTAAGGGGAACCAGAAGACAGAATAACGTGAAACAAGCTGAGGTCAAAGGGTAGGAGAAAGTCACAGAGTCGGATAACAAGCCAGAGAGTACGTAACCAGAAGCACAAGTTCAGAATCAATACTAACAAGCAAAGACCACAACAGGGCGAAGAGGAACAGGAAAGGTAAGTATATAAATCCAAAGGTTAATTCTGATTGGATAATTTCCAATCAGAATTAACAATCACACGTGGGAGATATCTAAACCTCCCACTGTGATTGAGGCACTGTGCCTTTAACGCCGGGTCAGGTGACTGACCCCGGCGTTTGTTAAAGTGGGCGGTCTCCCAGCGTGCAGCATCATGCATGCTGCCGCTGGGAGACACAGAGGAAGAGGCGGACGGCACCCGTGGGAGAGAGGGTGCCGCCCGCCGAGCACACGGCTGAAGGGGGACCGCGGACGGCTGGAGGGTGAGTGCCGCGAGCGGACTGCAGCCTCCCCTCGCAGCCGCCCGCGGGACCCTGACAGTACCCCCCCCTCGAAGACCGCCCAGAGGGCGGGAAGCAGAAGGCTTCAAAGGAAACCGGGCATGAAAGGAGCGGACTAAAGAGGGGGCGTGCAAATCAGAGCTCGAAACCCAAGACCGCTCCTCAGGGCCGTAACCCTTCCAATCCACCAGGTATTGCAGCCGACCCCTAGAAACACGAGAGTCGAGAAGGGCAGCTACTTCGAACACGTCACTAGAGACAGTACGAGGGGAAACGGGCCGTCCGAGAGGACGAGAGAACCGGTTACACAGCAAGGGCTTCAAAAGCGAAACGTGAAACGTGTGCGGAATACGCATGGAAGGAGGCAAGTCCAGGGAGTAGGAAACGGGGTTGAATCCTACGTAACACTTTGTAGGGACCAAGAAACCTGGGAGCAAACTTCATGGAGGGGACCCTGAGACGGAGGTTCTTGGAGGACAACCACACCCTATCACCCGGAGCATAAGAAGGGGTCGCACCCCTATGGCGATCAGCGAACTTCTTCTGAGCAGCTGCTGAACGAGACAGCGCAATATGGACCTGATCCCACGTCTTCCGTAAAGAGGCGAGGTGCTGGTCCAAGGCGGGCATTCCCTTGTCAGAGAACGCTCCGGGAAGGACAGAAGGCCGAAACCCATAAGCAACCTCAAAAGGACTTAAGCCAGTAGACGAATGAGACACCGCATTCCTGGCAAATTCAGCCCACGGAAGAAGGCGAGACCAGTCGTCCTGGTGCGCATTAGTGAAGCAGCGCAAATACAATTCCACAGACTGATTAGCACGTTCGGCTGCACCATTAGATTGCGGGTGATAGGAGGAAGTGAACGACAAGGAGACCCCCATCTCAGCACAAAAGCCCCTCCAAAACCGAGAGACAAATTGCGGGCCCCTGTCAGAAACAATATCCTGAGGTACCCCATGCAATCGGAACACTTCCTTGGCAAATACCTGGGCAAGCTGAATCGCAGAGGGTAGTTTCTTAAGTGGAATAAAGTGGGCCATTTTAGAGAACCTATCCGTCACAGTTAATATCACCGTCTGACCATCAGAAGGAGGAAGGTCCACAATAAAATCCATGGACAAGTGGGTCCATGGTTTCTTGGGTATAGATAGAGGCATCAGTAGGCCTTGGGGTCTCATATTAGGAGACTTACACTGCGTACAGACCCGACAAGCCTGAACAAAATCCACTACGTCTCGCTTGAGTGAAGGCCACCAGAACTGTTGAAGGAGGCTCTTATAAGTCTTGGTAACCCCCGGATGACCAGCAGTTTTGGCGGTGTGAAATAATGTTAATAACTTTTTTCTGTCACTTACTTTCACGTATAGTTTACCAACAGGCATCTCCTGAGGCGCTTGGGTTTGGTATGTCTTAATATTCTCAAGGAAGGGAGATGAAACAACCAAACGGGTAGCAGCTATGATCTGAGAAGCTGGTACAATAGGTTCAGGGGTTGGGTTAACAAATTCTAAAGGTTCATACTGTCGAGAGATAGCGTCAGCTTTGGCATTACGGCAACCAGGTCTATAGGTAATAATGTATTGGAATCGCGAAAGGAATAGAGACCATCTAGCCTGTCGGGCGGACAACCTTCTAGCATCGGTTATATAGGAGAGGTTCTTATGATCTGTCAGAACCATAATTTTGTGTCTAGAACCCTCTAATAAGTACCTCCATTCCTTAAAAGCTAACACAATAGCTAATAGTTCTCTGTTCCCAACATCGTAATTCTTTTCTGGATCAGACAACCTTTTAGAAAAGAAACAACAGGGATGGAGGGGTTCGTCATACGATAACCTTTGTGATAGTACTGCTCCCACCCCCGATTCAGAAGCATCTACTTCCATAACAAAGGGAAGAGAAGGATTAGGGTGGTGTAGTACTGGAGCAGAGGCAAATGCTTTCTTGAGAGTTTCAAAGGCTTTAAGGGCTTCAGGAGTCCAAACCCTAGGGTGTAGACCTTTTTTAGTCAGCTTTGTGATAGGAGAGATAAGTGGTGAGAAGTTTTTATAAATTTTCTATAATAGTTAGCAAAACCTATAAAACGCTGGATAGCCTTAAGTCCTTGGGGAAGTGGCCAGGACAGTATAGCTTCCAATTTAGCAGGATCCATACTAAAACCCTGTTCAGAAATTATATATCCCAGGAATTGCACAGAGGTCTGATCGAACAGACATTTTTCTAACTTACAATAAAGTCCGTTCTGTAATAATTTTTTAAGCACCATCCTAACATGTTTATGATGTGACTTCAAATCAGGAGAATATACAAGTATGTCGTCAAGGTACACCACGGCACAGACATGCAATAGATCCCTAAGGACATCGTTTATGAGATCCTGAAACACAGCAGGAGCATTACACAGTCCAAAAGGCATGACCAGGTATTCATAATGCCCACTACGCGTATTGAACGCTGTCTTCCACTCATCATTCTCCTTTATACGGATAAGGTTATAAGCTCCCCTGAGGTCTAGTTTAGTAAAGTACTTAGAACCTTTAACGCGGTCAAACAACTCAGTGATGAGGGGGATAGGGTAGGCGTTTTTAACCGTTATATTGTTCAGACCCCTGTAGTCTATACACGGCCTCAAATCGCCCTCCTTCTTTGCCACAAAAAAGAAACCAGCACCAGCAGGAGAGGAGGACCTTCTAATAAAACCTTTCCTTAAGGATTCTCGTATGTACTCCTCCATGACCTGGTTTTCTTTCTCAGAAAGAGGGTAGACCTTACCCCTAGGGGGCATAGTGCCCGGTAAAAGGTTTATGGCACAGTCATAGTCACGATGTGGAGGTAGCTTATCTGCCTCCCTCTTTTCAAAAACCAATGCAAGATCAGCATATACAGAAGGGACAGAAACAGAGAGTGGTTTAGCCGTGGGCACGTTGAGTAAACAAACAGGACGTACCTGAGCCATACAGTCTCGTTGACAGGATTCCCCCCAGGATAGTATATCCAAGCAACCCCAATCGAGAACAGGGTTGTGTTTCACTAACCAGGGAAAACCCAGAACGATGGAAGCAGTAGGGGAGTCAATTATTTGGAAGGTTAACCTTTCCTTATGCAAAACACCTACAGACATCACTATTTCTTGGGTCTCATGGGTCACCAGAGGTTTCTCAAGTGGTCTACCATCTATGGCCTCAACGACCAAGGGTGTGGCCTTTTGGATCAAAGTTAAGGCTGCGGTTTTAGCAAAGTTCTCATCCATAAGGTTGTCTGCCGCACCTGAATCGATCAAGGCTTTGGTGGTTATGGTGGTTTTATTGACCAAAAGAGAAACCGTAATAAACGGTCTGGAGATGGACACATGAGGGGACAAAGTCATAACACCCGAGGCCGACCCCTCTCTAGGCCTTAGGTGCTGTAGTTTCCCTGTAACTTAGGGCAGGCATTACAGTGGTGCCCCCTCTTTCCACAATAAAGGCATAACCCCTCCCTTCTACGATATGCTCTTTCAGCCTCAGTTAGCCCCGTAGCACCCAATTGCATGGGTTCGGGGGTTGGTTGACTAGGAGCGGGTAGTGCTAGTAAAGCAGTAGAGGGGGGAGCAGGTAATGCCCGTGTATCCATCCGTCTTTGACTACGCCTCTCTCTAATACGGTTATCAATAAGAATGACATAATCTATGACATCATCTAGAAGAACAGGCAATTCCCTGGATGCTATTTCATCCAGTATGTAGGCGGCCAAACCCTCCTGAAAGGCTGTTACGAGGGCATCATTATTCCAAACCACTTCAGCTGCTAGCGTGCGGAATTTGATAGTATAATCCGCTACAGATCTATTACCCTGTCGTACCCTAAGCAGAGCTTTGCCAGCAGAGGCAACCCTACCGGGTTGATCAAACATACGTTTGAAAGCTGTCAAGAACTCTACAAAGGACATAGGAGATGTATTCTCCCACATGGGGTTAGCCCATGCTAAAGCTTTCCCGGACAGGTGGTTAATCAAAAAGGCAATTTTGGATCTGTCAGTGGGATAGGAACGTGGATTCATCACCAAATGGATGTCAATTTGGTTAAGGAAACCACGACACAATGCTGGGTCACCGCTGTAGCGTTGTGGCGGTGTCATGTGAACAACATGAGCAGGAACGGGTACCGGAGTGGGAATGGGTTCGGGCACAGCAGCAGCAGCCTCCTGGACGGCAGGTTGCAAGTGTGCAGTACGAGCCAGTATGGTTTGTAAAGCTTGGGCAAACTGGTCCATACGGTGGTCCAAGCCATCCATTCTAGCCTCCTGATTAACTAGGAGCTGTGGTATGTCAGCAGGTTCCATTATGGCCCTGTTGTAATGTCACGATTCGGGGAACCAAACACGCCAACACACACACACACAAAAGTGCCGTACCGGACCTTAGAGTGGCCGGGCTAAGCACACAAAGAATAGTCAGGAAACAAGCCGAGTAAGGGGAACCAGAAGACAGAATAACGTGAAACAAGCCGAGGTCAAAGGGTAGGAGAAAGTCACAGAGTCGGATAACAAGCCAGAGAGTACGTAACCAGAAGCACAAGTTCAGAATCAATACTAACAAGCAAAGACCACAACAGGGCGAAGAGGAACAGGAAAGGTAAGTATATAAATCCAAAGGTTAATTCTGATTGGATAATTTCCAATCAGAATTAACAATCACACGTGGGAGATATCTAAACCTCCCACTGTGATTGAGGCACTGTGCCTTTAACGCCGGGTCAGGTGACTGACCCCGGCGTTGGTTAAAGTGGGCGGTCTCCCAGCGTGCAGCGTCATGCATGCTGCCGCTGGGAGACACAGAGGAAGAGGCGGACGGCACCCGTGGGAGAGAGGGTGCCGCCCGCCGAGCACACGGCTGAAGGGGGACCGCGGACGGCTGGAGGGTGAGTGCCGCGAGCGGACTGCAACCTCCCCTCGCAGCCGCCCGCGGGACCCTGACACTATCTAAGTCCTCAGTTTTTGCCGTAATACCAATAGATAGGCAGGTTAGATCACGAGGGCCCCAGACTTATTTGCACACACACTCACCGTGAGGTCTCCCATGGTATGTTTACTGATAGAGGGCCGTGGAAATGCCGAGCTCACGCTCTCCATCCTGGTTCCTCGTGCTAATCATAGGGAGAACGCTAAGTCCATGAGGCCAATAACTTTAGGTGGGAGGCAGAATAATCACCGTGTTAAAGGGATCAATGGGGGACCGGGACCGACATAGAGCTCCCCGAGTGGGGCTGGCCCGGGGGCGGGGGGGACATCGAAAGACAACGGTTTTAAGTGACAAGAGGAAAAAGGTTTTTCTATTGCAAAGGTCTAAATTTCCTACAATTGGCGCCTGAACGGTGGGAGCTCCGTATCCCGATGTTCCTCCCAACGTTGATCGTGGCAAGGAAACGGGACGACGTCCCCACAAATCTCCTGGCGGACAGTAAGACCAGGATGTCAGTGCATCGGACTGTGTCCGGGTGCAGTTTTTCTTTCTACTCTTTATTCTCTCCCTTCTTTTTCTTTCCTCTTCCCTCTTTTTCTCTTCTTAGGGGGGGCCGCGGGGTTGGGGGGTTGGCAATGGGCTTGCTACAGAGACCCGAAAAAGAGTCTGATAGGACAAAGAACGTGAAATCATTATGCAGAGCCTTACCTGACTTACTTGATGGAGATTAAAATCATTCCCTTGAATGTTAAGGGATTAAACGCTCCTAAGAAGCGTAGACTCCTATTTCGGGAGCTAAAAAGAATGAACTCGGACATCGCTTTTATCCAAGAGACCCATTTGCCAGCACAGGCCAAGTTTAGGTTGAAAGATAACACGTATGCAGGCTCTTTTGAAGCCAGGTCCCACTGCAAACGAAACGGTGAAACTCATTTTGAAGCTGACCCAGAAGGTCGAATGGCTATCGTCTCAGGCGTTCTACATTCACATACGGTCCATTTGATCAACATCTACGCGCCAAATCAGCCAGACCCATTGTTCTGGGAAGTGCTTCGGGAGAAAATTAGGGATCTGCCCCATGGAATGATATTTTTAGGAGGCGATTTCAATGCGGCCCCGTGCCCGGCGGTGGACAGGAGCTCGCGGACGGGTGCCCCTAGGTCACAGGGTAGGGGGGGACAGGATCGTCTGCTTAAAGATTTTATAGCTGCCACAGGACTTATTGATGTCTGGAGAGCTCACCATCCGGGCGATAAGGATTACTCTTTTTACTCTGCTCCACACGGAACATACTCAAGGATAGATCTCTTTTTGACTAACGCAACGGGCATGTCCCGAACCGTAGGATCCCGGGTGGGCAACATCTCATGGTCGGATCATGCTGATGTCTCCATTACGCTGGGTAATTTATGCGTCGCCTCGCCATGGACGTGGAAATTGAACACGTCCCTATTTCAAGACCCAGAGATACTGGAGCAAACCAGGAAAGGAATCACGGAATATTTTGAATTAAACACCACCCCTGAGGTGAACGCGTGTACGATTTGGGCGGCCCACAAGGTAGTTATTAGAGGGACCTTGATTAAACTGGCCACCAGAAAGAAGAAATTGAAATATCTACAGCTGGAGAAGTTGCTAGGGAACCTGAGATCCTTAGAACAAAGACATCAAGCGGCGCCGACGGAGGTCACCCTCAGGCAATTGGGAGCGACGAGACGGGACATTCACACTTTGTTGTTGGACGATGCGGCTCGTTCTATGACCTGGTCAAAACGGACATTTTTCGAGAAGGCGAACAAAATGGACACCTTATTAGCTAGAACGCTTAGGCCGAGGCAAGAGAGATCCCATATAACGGTGCTTAAACACTCGGATGGTACGGAGAGAACAAGACCAGCTGAGATAGCTGAGATCTTTGAGGATTTCTACAAAAGATTATACAACCACACCCCGGACGGAAGCTCCTACGGTGCCCGTGAAGAAGAATATATTTTGCAATATCTAGACAAACAGGGAATGACTAGATTGACTGGGGAGGCAACACACATGCTGGCGGCGGACATTTTGGAAGAGGAAGTGGACAAAGCTATCTCGAGCTTGAAAGGCAATAAAGCACCAGGGCCAGACGGCTTCGATGGTTCATATTACAAAACCTTTAGGAAAGAGCTAACGCCACATCTAGTCCAACTTTTTGATAACCTACGACAAGGTAGGCAATTGGACCCAGACATGTCATTGGCGACCATAGTGCTTTTGCCCAAACCCGGGAAGGACCCATTGTATCCTGAAAACTATAGACCTATATCGCTAATCAACCATGATTTGAAAATATTGGCGAAAATCCTGGCTGATAGGCTGAACCCTTTACTAAATTCTCTTATCCATGCAGACCAAGTCGGATTCATCAGGAATAGACAATTATTCGAAAACACTAGACGGAATATTGATTTGGAGGCAGGTGGCATTGGAGACCCCTACATTGGTAGTCTCCATTGATGCGGAGAAAGCCTTCGACAGAGTACGGTGGCAATTTCTGTTCCCAGTTTTAAAGAACATGGGATTCCCGGAAGAATTTCTAACGATGACGGGAGCAATGTATCATAATGTTCGGGCACAAGTGCAGATATCGGGGGCCCCACTACGCCCCTTCAGATTGCATAATGGAACAAGACAGGGATGCCCACTCTCTCCCCTTCTTTTCGTTTTGGCCCTGGAACCCTTACTACAGGCTGTCCGAAGACACCCGAACATCGTTGGTGTACAGGTAGGAGACAAGGAATTTAAGGTTTCAGCTTATGCGGACGATGTCCTCCTGACCATCACGAACCCTATGGAATCAATGGAAGCAATACAAGAAGTCATAGCAGAGTACGGTACGCTATCAGGTTATAAGGCAAACATTCAGAAATCTAGTGCACTACCACTGTGCTTGTCGCAAGCTGATACGGTTCGGTTACAGGAGTTTTACCAGATCCGCATGGAAACGGACTCTTTGAAGTATTTGGGAATTAATATGACAGCTGATCCCGAACGCCTATACTTAGCTAACTATACCCCTATGTTTAGAGACCTGATGAGGGACTTAGACAAATGGACGGACAAACCCATATCTTGGATCGGCAGAATACACTCAGTGAAGATGAATATACTTCCACGTATATTATTCCTCTTCCAGGCGCTACCCATAAGAGTAACGAAGACGCAATTACTACCGCTGCAAAGATCGATTGGAGATTTTATTTGGCAGAACAAGAGACATCGAATTGCTAAACAAGTGTTATACCGTCGCAAAGACAGAGGGGGATTGGGCCTGCCGAACCTCTATTTCTACTATTTGGCGGCTCAGCTGGCGCAGATAGCCATGTGGCATTCCACGATGGATGAGAGAAGGTGGGTAGAGATAGAGGCTTTGATGGTAGGTGTTGACGTACCCCAATTCACGATATGGGTCTCGCCAGAACATAGACCGGAGATACGAAAAACATGCCCGGCAATCCTCAACTCGATCCGAATATGGGATAATTGTAGACTAAAATACGGGCTGGCCTCATCCCCTTCTCCACTGACCCCCTTTTTGAGAAACAGGGAATTCCCGCCTGGTATGGCCCCCAGAGACTTCAAGAACATAGAAAGGACTGGGCTACAACGGATTCACCAATTATATCATGAGGGAGAGGTAATACAGTTTGCAGATCTTCAAGCAGGAAACCACCTAACCCCTGCAGATTTCTTTAGGTATGTCCAAATACGGGACTTCGCCAAGAAGCCACATATCAAGTCGGCTGCCTCCGGGAGGCCCACTTTTTATGAGAGGATTTGCTCGGAGGGGGCAACCCCTCAGGGGTTGATTACTCTCATATACGCACACCTCTGCGGAGAAAATAAAGAATGGGGAAGGTTAACTTACATTGATCAATGGGAGAATGATCTCGGGGAGACTTTGGAAGGGGTCGAGTGGCAAGAGATATGGGAAGCCAGCGCCAAGGTCTCCATTTGTGTCACCCTTCAAGAGCAGGCTTGGAAAACTCTGTTCAGATGGTATACTACCCCAGTCAAACTTCATAGAATGCATAAACGGGAGACAGATGATTGTTGGCGTGGGTGTGGAGCACGAGGGACTTATATTCATATGTGGTGGGGGTGCCCGAGGCTACTAGGCTTTTGGAAGTCTATTGAAGACCTATTGAAACAGACGTTTGATAGACCCCTGAAAATGGACCCGTGGATTTATTTATTAAATAGATCAATTGATGGATGGACCAGAAGGGAGCAGAAGTTAGTACACAAAATCACACTGTGTGCGCGCAGAGCAATAGCATCGGCATGGCTTACATTAGAGGGCCCGGATATCGCAGGGGTTATATCTAGAATTAAAGAAAGTAGAGTGATGGACGACTTAACGGCAAGGGTGAGAGGTAATGTATCAACGTTTTATAAAATTTGGGAACCTTGGGACAATAGTGTAGTTGGCTCAAGAGGGGAGTGAGTGCCTTCCCTGGCACAAGTACGAATCGTACCGGAATTCATTAACGCTAGCAGGGTCTTCTGTGCCGGCGGGGCTGCTGTTTTTTGACCCTTCTCTCGTTGGTCCCCCCTCCTTCTTTTCCCTTTTTCCCTCTTCTAAACTTTCCTCTAATCTTCTACATCCTCGTTCCTATCTATCTTCTTTTTTCTCCTTTTATATTTCATTTTTCTTGCTTTCGTTTTTAATTTTTCCAGGCATGGTCATACGATGGGAGGAAAATGAAACAACGACACGATACTGATTAATACATCTGAATGATTGCTGTCGTTGCTATCTACTCATATTATGATCCGCACATATCCTCTCCAGAGTTGGCAACGCCTATCGTATTATAAGAATAGGGTTGGCATTAATGGAGCGGAATGGTACGCGATTATTCCTATCTGGTAGGGCAATTATTTAGCTAGTACTCAAGCCCAGCTGGGATCTCATGCCTAGGATGGATAAGGAGCTCATAGATCACATGATGCCCACATTACCGACAGATGTCAACAGTGTGGCAAGGCTGGAGCTTATTCAATGTGACCAAAAGAAATATACTTTAATTGACTTTTATATTAGCCTCGATAGGGATTGAAAAAGACTTATCTTTTTGTTGTGTGAATATATTGTTTATAGTTATATAAAACAAAAAATCCTCAGTAGACGGCAAGTGCCTATAGCTCAAATATGAATGGGCTTATACTGTCATTGTTAAGCTGTATTTTGTATAATGTTATTATTACACTGGCTTTTGCATAAGCCCAAAGTCGTTAATAACTTGATACGTCTATTGAGCAAAAATAAAGAATTTAAAAAAAAAAAAAAGAAAGCACTGAGTGGCAGGACATCTGGGAGGCCAACACCAAAACCTCCATCTGTGTCACGATGCAGGAACAGACAGACAAAACAATGTTTCAGTGGTATAAAACACCGGTCCAACTGTACCATATGAAAAAAACACCTACCGATTTCTGCTGGCGTAACTGCGGGGAAAAAGGGACATACACTCACATGTGGTGGCCCTGCCCTACAATTAAAGGACCACTATAGTGCCAGGAAAACATACTCGTTTTCCTGGCACTATAGTGCCCTGAGGGTGCCCCCACCCTCAGGGTCCCCCTCCCGCCCGGCTCTGGAAGGGGGAAAGGGGTAAAACTTACCTTTTCCAGCGCTGGGCGGGGAGCTCTCCTCCTCTCCGCCTCGTCGGCTGAATGCGCGTGCGGCAAGAGCTGCGCGCGCATTCAGTCACATAGGAAAGCATTTACAATGCTTTCCTATGGACGCTGCGTGCTCTCACTGTGAAAATCACAGTGAGAAGCACGCAAGCGCCTCTAGTGGCTGTCAATGAGACAGCCACTAGAGGCTTTGGGGGAAGGCTTAACCCATTCATAATTATAGCAGTTTGAATGGGTTAACCCTAGAAGGACCTGGCACCCAGACCACTTCATTAAGCTGAAGTGGTCTGGGTGCCTAGAGTGGTCCTTTAAACAGTTTTGGAAAGAGATTCAAACGTTAATATCCCAAAATCTAAGCAGACCGGTAGACCTGAACCCTTGGACATTCTTACTGGCCACACCCCTAGACGACTGGCCCAGACCAGAACAACAACTGCTCAACAAAATTGCACTAGCAGCCAGGAGGGCCCTGGCCCAGACCTGGTTACAACCTACCACCCCCCCAATGGCCATCGTACTCAACAAAATTAAAGAATGCCGCCTCATGGACAAATTGACGGCCCACATAAGGGGCTACACGAAAACATTCACTAAGACATGGGAAAGGTACATTGATGGACAATAACTATACAACTTGACCTGATGACATGAAAAGGTGTCCAAGACACATATAACCCCCAACCCTACCCAACCCTGCCCCCCCTCCCCCATTACTAGGCCAAGACAACCGGTACCTCGGCCTACTGTTCTATACACCACAACCTCGAAACAAGATGGCAACTTCAACTCACTGTTACAGTATGTTAACAAAGTTTTATTTGTTATGAACCATCCCTCCTGTTTTGTTTTGTTTTTTTTACCTATTTTACTCAAAACCACTGACAGATGGAGATCACAGTACAAATGCTTAGTATTAGGCATGTGCATGGGGAAAATTTTCGGTTCGGTTCTTCCGCAATTCGGCACTTCAACACTTCGAAACTTCGGCACTTAAGCACTTCGGAACTTCTCTTGCAGCCGCTTAGTAGATAACTCCCTAATTCCCACGGTATTAGAGGGTTATCTACCAAAAGGCTGAAAGACCTAAATTGGCTGTGGCTGCTCACTTTAAAAAAAATAAATAAAAAAAATTCCCCTCCCAAACCCCACCCCTGAGCGGCGGGTGGGGGCCCTAAAGTAATATGATGGGGGGGACCTATTGTCCCCCTGAGCGGTGGGTGGGGGTCCTAATGTCCTCCCCCCTGGCCCCCACCCCTGAGCGGCGGGTCGGGCCCTAAATACTAATAAGGGGGGGGGGGCCTAATGTCCTCCCCTTGGCCCCACCCGTGAGTGGTGGGTGGGGGCCCTAAATTGGAATAAGGGGGGGACCTAATGTCCTCCCCCCCGGCCCCCACACCTGAGCGGCGGGTGGCGGCCCTAAATACTAATAAGGGGGGGACCTAATCTCCTCCCCCTTTGCCCCCACCCCTGAGCGGCGGGTCGAGCCCTGAATTGGAATAGTGGGGGGACCTAATGTCCTTCCCCCTTGGCCCCCACCCCTGAGCGGTGGGTGGGGGCCCTAAATCAGAAGAAGCGGGGGACCTAATGTCCTCCCCCCCGGCCCCCACCCCTGAGCGGCGGGTGGGGGCCCTAACTACTAATAAGGGGGGCCTAATGTCCTCCCCCCTGGCCTCCCACCTACCTACACCCCTCACCCTAAAAATAAGTGCTGAAGTTCAAAGTGTCAAAGTGCTGAAGTTCTGAAGCACAGTATTGCCTAAGAATAAAATACTTACCCAGTGGAAGAATGAAGAATGTTACACTGTATACATTTTTAAATAAAAAGTATACAAACATAGCCAGGATTCAGCTGTAAGCATTTGCAACACTTACAACAATCAAGTAACATACATTGATATAAAATGTAAGTTACTTAACCAGTCAATGTAATGACAGGAATGAATAAGTAGATAACTCCCTAATTCCCACGCTATTAGGGAGCTATATACTAAAAGGCTGAAAGACCTAAATTGGTCTTTCAGCCAAATTTACTAATACTAAGTAAAGATTACTTAGTATTAGTAAATTATGCCCCTACTTGCTATACTGCGAGTAGGGGCATGTCTATTAAACAGTGAGCAGCCTGAACGGCGGGTGGGGGCCCTACAGTAAAATAAGGGGGGGCCTAATAACCTCCCCCCTGACCCCCACCCCTGAGCAGTGGGTGGGGGCCCTAAATTAGAATAAGGGGGGGGATCTAATGTCCACCCCTGAGCGGTGGGTGGGGGACCTAAATTAGAATAAGGGGGGGATCTAATGTCCTCCCCCCACCCCTGAGCGGTGGGTGGAGGCCCTAAATACTAATAAGGGGGGGGGACCTAATGTCCTCCCCCCTGGCCCCCACCCCTGAGTGGTGGGTGGGGGCCCTAAATTGAAATAAGGGGGGGACCTAATGTCCTCCCCCCTGACCCCCACCCCTTTGTGGTGGGTGGGGGCCCTAAATACTAATAAGGGGGGGACCTAATGTCCTCCCCCCCAGCCCCCACTCCACCCGCCGCTCAGGGGTGGAGGCCGGGGGGGGAGGGACAATATGTCCCCCCCATTGGTATTTAGGGCCCCCACCCGCCACTCAGGGGTAGGGGCCGGGGGGAGGACATTAGGTGCCCCCCTTATTAGTATTTAGAGCCCCCACCCAGCGCTCAGTGGTGGGGTCCAGGGTGGAGGACATTAGGTTCCCCACCCTTATTCCAATTTAGGGCCCCCATCCACCGCTCAGGGGTGGGGGCCAGGGGGGAGGACATTAGGTCCCCCCCCTTATTCCAATTTAGGGCCCCCACCCGCTGCTCAGAAGTGGGGGCCAGGGGGGAGGACATTAGGTCCCCCCCCCTTATTCCAATTTAGGGCCCCCACCCGCTGCTCAGAAGTGGGGGCCAGGGGGGAGGACATTAGGTCCCCCCCTTATTCCAATTTAGGGCCCCATCCGCCGCTCAGGGGTGGGGGCCAGGGGGGAGGATATTAGGTCCCCCCTCTTATTCCAATATAGGGCCCCATCCGATGCTCAGGGGTGGGGGCCAGGGGGGGAGGGCATTAGGTCCCCCCTTATTCCAATTTAGGGCCCCCACCCGCCGCTCAGGGGTGGGGGCCAGGGGGAGGACATTAGGTCCCCCCCTTTTTTCAATTAAGGGCCCCCACCCACCGCTCAGGGGTGGGGGCAGGACATTAGGTCCCCCCCCTTATTATTATTTAGGGCCCACACCCACCGCTCAGGGGTGGGGGCCAGGGGGGGAGACAATAGGTCCCCCCCATCATTTTACTTTAGGGCCCCCACCCGCCGCTCAGGGGTGGTGTCGGGGGGGGTGGCAATAGGTCCCCCCTTTAGTTTAAAAGCCCCCACCCACGACGCGGGACCCTGTTTTTTTTGTTGGTTTTTTTTTTAACAGTGTGTTAAAAGACATGCCCCTACTCGCTATATAGCGAGTAGGGGCAAAATTTACTAATACTAAGTAATTTTTACTTTTGGTCGATAACTCCCTAATACCGTGAGAATTAGGGAGTTATCTACTAAGCGGCTGCAAGAGAAGTCCCGAAATTCCGAATTGCGAAAATCCCGAATTGCGGAATGCCAAACCGAACCAAAACTTTTCCCCATGCACATGCCTACTTCTCAACCTATGCATAGGCTTTTGCACAAGCCGTAAAAATGCAAGCTGTGATAACCTCTGTCATCGAAAAATAAAGAATCATAAAAAAAAAAAAATGAACTATTATTTTATTTCTATAAAACCTGTATGTCTGAATCAATATATAAAGTAGGGCGAAGAGATTTGACACTATGCACCACCTATGAAATATTTAGTTCACCCCATGGTTAGGACAGCAGCTCTATCAGACTGCACAGGCTAAGACTGATTAGATAAACTGCTCTTATAGCTTGGCTGTAATCCACTCCTCACAGAGGAAACATGTTCGGGCAGACCCCCTGCCCATCACACTCTGTTACAGGATCTGCAGGTTATTTCTGGCCCGAGGAAGCAGGAGTCTAGACATGATGGAGAACTGGAAGTTGCCTTTGGGATGCATCAGGGGGAGATGCATTTCTGGAGCAAAGTTCCATAAATGGAACAATCAGCAGGAACATTCCATTGGCTACCATAGTAACTGCTCCACTAACTGCTTTAGAACTTTGCCCCGAATGGACCTTTCTATATAAATCCACAAATGTTTGTCAGACTGAGTCAAATTTTTAACAATAAGGCCTGCAGCACCAAAGCTGGCGTCGAAAGGCATTTCTTACTAAAAATGTACAAGAGATTCAACAGGGGTTTATAAAAAGATCAAACATGAATTTTCTTTTATTTTTATCCAAAACGATCTGTGATCGCTCGCAGGAAAAATATACAAAGCATTCCGACTGGGTCGGGTATATTGTTTGTTCTCTGATGCTAAATTTGTGCTGATCATTGAACCCATGTAATGTTTCTTATTTATCCTTTTTTTGTTCTTTATAATGTGACACAGGCACTTACCTATTTTCTCTCCCTCCCTGCCCACATGTGCGTATCATCCTATTTATCATTCAGAATATTTCTTATTTTTCATCAATCCTATAAAAGCCCGTTGCTCACTAATTCTTTTCTTTGAG